CCCGTGGTATCTGTCCCAGTGATGTGCTTCTTCCTCTGCTGTACCATGCGCACCCTGGTATCCTGGCTCATGGTAGGATCCACCCGAGAAAGATGTGTCTTGGTGTACCTTGTCATGTCGACCCAGATCATGATGGGGCTCGTCATACTGTGACGCCCCGTGCTGTCCAGCCGTGTGTTGCTCTGGGCCTGATGATGTACTTCCATGAGGGGTTCCTCCTCCTGCTGACTCGATAGGCTTCTGCTGAGGAACATGGGTATCCGAGCTCTCAAAAGTGCCATAGGGTGCACGATGAGGAATCGGGCCAGTACTCTCAGTTGGCGCTGCTTGTTGAGGCTCCGAGGAAGGCTCTGTGTCTTGTCCTGGGCGTGGTTCCTGCGAGTGCGGCGTATCGGCATGCGCAACCGTAGTTGCAGAATCTTGAGCATGTGAATAACGTTGGTTATGTGTCAGCGCCGCTCTATCTCCCGTCGGGCTTCTTAATTGAGTCTCCCCCGTCAGAAACCTTTTCCCCGTTACATCAACAGGTATCTGTACCGCCATTAGCCATCGGGACCTTGAGCACGGAACTCAGATACTTACGCTCACGACCGGACGGTAGTGGCCGTCATACACAGCCCACCAACGTCCGAGCAATTTGTTGTAGGGGGAATCCACGGGTTGCACCTGCCGGCCCATATTCCACGGTTTCTGAGCACCAATGAAATGGATCATGCTGATGGTGCTTTGGAAGTGGTTGAAGGCCGGAATGTACTGGTAATTGGCGCTGGGAGTGCAATTATACGTGAAGCTCAGCCGATGCCAATCGCGAAAGTGCATGTTCAGCAACCCTTGATCGGCGCCATCAAAACTGATGCCTCGCTCCGCAAGCGCCCTCAGCGCAAAGTAGACCTGCAAGTTGGGACGAAGCACCATGACACCACTGTTGAAGCAATCAGGCCAGCCCACATCTGGAGCGGCCGCGAAGTCGACATCCAACTCCAGAAGCTCATTGGGAGCTCTGACCGCGACAATGTCGCAATCGAGGTAGACAATGCGCTTGAACTGTGTTTGGCGCCATAATTCGATCTTGGTGAAAGTGGCAATAAGGTCCGGTCGGTCCATAAGCCAAAGATTCGCCGGGGTAAGGTTGGTCAGCGGATTCACAGGAATTATTTCGTCGTACACGATCTAGGTCAAGGACTCTTTTAGCGACGTTCCATGCGAAGCGGTGGACGATCCTTGCATGAAAAGCTCAAAAAGAGATGAAATGAGATTGATGTGCGAAAGGCATACCTCAAGTTCCTGGACGGTGGCCGGCTGCAAGCTATCAGGCGTGTAGAGCGCGACGAGCTTGGCCTTTGACCCATTGTCGCGCAGGGAATGTGCAAGAACCACGGCACCTATAGGATAGGAAGATTGGACAATCAGAGAGAACGACTCCAGCAGTATGTTGGTAAAGAAGGCGCCATGAGAATACCCGGAAGATAATGATCACTCAACAGGAGCTAGGAGTCATAACGGACGATCAGTAAATTGGGTGACGGAAGTGGAACAGGGAAGTACCGTCGTAGTAAGGGAACAAACATACCGTGCAGTACACAGCGCTTTCGGCGAGCGCCATTGCGGGTAGTGGTCAACGCCGCGCAGTCCGTAGAGTGGACCAGCAATGTGTAAAAGTATGGCGATAAAGAAAGCGACAAAATACAACGAGAACGAAGGTAGAAGAAGAGAAGAAGAAGAAAAGACAAGAGACGGAAAGGGAGCAAGGAGCTTGGGGCACGAGTCGTCGTCAGTAAGTTAGTTCACTTAGTTGATTTAGTGGTTGGCTGGGTTGGTAGGTAACTACCGTACGTAGTACGGGTGCGGAGGAGGAGAAGGGAGGATAACGAGGATCCCCCTCACTCAAACGAAAGACTGACTGACTGACGTTAGGAGCCAAAGGAACCAACCCCGCCCGCCCGCATAGACGAGCACTCAGACGGTTTCCCCAATTAGCATGCCGTGCGGGTGTGCTCTACCACCACCACGCCATTCTCCATCGAATAGAGCGAACGACAGAACACGAACTGAAATGAGGAATGCAGAATTGGAACGAGTGTAGGATAAATTAGACACGATCGAGATCAATTAGAGCTGCACTGGCGTGCTGAGGATGCGTAAAGATCAGAAGAGACAGACAGACAGACAGGTACGTAGTTGGAGATGGAGAAGACGGGGCGGGAAAGTGGGAAGTGGAAGCGGAAGTGGAAGTGGAAGTGGGAACAGGGAATAATAGACTAGAAACAGCACTGCTCAGCTCAGCACAGCTTTAGCTGCACGCGGCCGACAGTCACTTTCCTCGTTCTCTCACCCTCTCTTTCTCTCTTTCTACTATACCTACTACCTAGTACACTCTCTGAGTTAGTATTAGTGCCTTCAAACCCCCGCTCACGCCCAGCCCTGACACGGTACCAGTTTGACACCAAGCCCCTTTAATCAATTCATAATCATAACAATAATCATCATAATATTAGATCTCGTTTTCGATCCTGTCAGCGCTGGGAAGAATTTTGTGTAGCACAGACCTAGAACCTCAATCTCGAAATCTCAATTGACTTTCTTTCCGCACCCCCTTGCAGCACCTTGTTCTTGGTTAGATGCAGGTTTCCCCCGAGCTCGGAAGCTTTCTCGTACGAAAACCCCCCCCTCCCCGTGCAATTCGAAAAAAATAGATAGATGCGAAGTAACCATGCGGGAGAAGGTTCAGACTACACTAGTCTGATTATAGGTAGATTGTAGTCGTATAGACCGGAGCCTAGACTAATTTCAGTCTATTTCAGTCGATGCCTAGCGACAGATAAGCCAAGCAAGCCAAAGATTCAAAAATCAATCATGGACCCGCTTCAGTAGGTTGTCGATTGATCCATGTCTATTTGCGAGCAGTCACCACGGCCTTGGGCGAACACTTCTGCAAAACAGCTCCAATATCCTCCTTCTCACCCTTCACGGTCCATTCGATCGCCTTCTCCAAGGCAAGCTGGCCTTGACGCTCCAATGGGGTGAAGTGGCCCAGACCCGGCACCACGATAACTTGACTGTCTCGCACAAGGTAGTCTGCAATGCCATCCAGGCACAAGGCAGGCTCCAAGGCCATGTCGGCCTTCCCCCAAATGACGGTTGCACTAGCTTTCAGGGACCCCTTGGGTCCATCGGTAAACAGACCAGCACCGCTGCTGGTGCGGTGGGCCGCCTTCGCGTCTTCAATGCCGTGAAGGTGCGCAATCGTCTCAATTGACTTGTGCCAGCGCGCGAACGCTGTGTTATCCCGGTAGTAGGCGGTCATATGCTGGAAGGTCAATTGCCCGCGGTCTTCTTTCATGAACGCAGGATACGTGTCGCCCTCCGCGGTTTGAGTTTGGCATTCAGCCACGGACGGGCCTACAGTACTAGCCATGCACTCTGCGGCATCCCGAGGGGAAAACTCCTGTTGACCGTACGATGCGCGGTGTATAAGCTTCAGGAATGAGTAGTTTCCGCCTCGGCCCAGATACCGAACCAGGGACAAGGGCAGTTTCATAGCAAAGATGTATCCTGAGCGGAGCAACTGTCGACCAACGGGCTGCAGAGTCTGGGCCACTTTCCAAAGCGTCGCGCGGGAGTGTATCGGATCACGCAGTGCTGTCTTGAGCATCTTAAGGGAGGAAGAGAGTCGGCGGGCAATGTTCGCCCGGGCGAGACCAGGCTACATGCTGTTAGCTCGAATGAAAATGCGACCCATTCAAGGGGGGAACGCACAATTGGTCCATTCGTCAGAATAAAGCGATCCGCCAGTTGAGGAGCTTCAGATGCCAGTCGGGTCGAAAGCACACAGCCCCAGTCATGTCCGACAATAATAACCTTACGCTGCCGCGCCGCGGTCTCCGTGTCAGCTCCGTACTTGGCCCGAATCGCGATCACGAACTCCGTCAGATTCTCGAGCACTTTCGTTGCTGAGTATCGATCAAGCCGATCGCTACCACCATAGCCGGGCAAGTCGACCGCAACCAGAGTGGCCGCATGTTGAAGAGCGGGTGAGGCGAGAAGATGGCGCCAGATGGCCCAGCTATCGGGAAATCCATGGATGAACACAACCAGCGGCTTTTGTGGGTCGGTGGCGGTCTGCTGTCCGGGGCCGTCATTGCAGACGTAGTGGAATTTGAACCCGCTCGGCAGAGTATGGATATGGTGACGAAGGCCTGCGAAGCTCTGTGAAAGGTCCCAGAGTCGATTGCGAGCTGCGATGGAGCCGGAAACACGCAGTGAGCATCGAGCAAGACATAAAGTCTCCGAAACGAGGCCGTTATTGAATATCACTTACCGATTTGCAGTTCGAGGGTCTCCTTCTCCGTGGTATTCCTGAAGAAATACCCTTTGCTTACAGCGCGAATTCCATAGAGTCCGAGACTGAAAAGTCCGTAAAGAAAGATCACACCCGATCCCACGAATCCGAGTATCGATGCCATGATGACTGACTGAAGTATGACTTTGGTCTGCCCAGGCGGGCTTCAGATGGCGGGCTGAGACAATTGTCGTACAGCGACTAATCGAATAATAGAAGAAGAAGCTCTAGTGAAAGGAGAGAAGAAATCACCGTCCGGTGGGGAAAAGTAGATAAGGGTGATCGAAGGAGAAAAAGTTCCGAGGTAACTAATCTTGCAGAAGGGAAGAAGACCCTACGAAGCTCCTAATCTCCCTTTCTAGTAGTCTAACGGACACTAAATGAACCACCCGTGGATAGGCGGTTTGGGCAGTGTCCGCCGCTGCCAGTCATGGTGCGCCGTTGACCCGCCGTTGCCCACTTCGAACCCGCCCACATGTGATTTTCAATGGGAAAAGTTGCAATGCACTACGTAATAATCGCCGGCGCCCCCGGGGCTTGTTTCACTCGGGATGCACCACCTTTTTGCATTGCTGAGCGAAAACCCACATATGAAGTGGAAGCTCCGTCTACTCTGATGAATGTCATGGTATGCAAATTGGGAAGACAAGCACGAAGGACAGTTCATTTCTCCGTAGGGACTCTAATAAAAACACTTGGGGATATCATGAGACAGATGAGTACATCAAGCATAAAATGACATGAGAGGATCATAACCAACGGGCACAGGCTTGTTACAGCGAGAACCCCAGGCTCCCTCTGTTGTCGTCGACAAGACGGCCATACCTAAAAACACACATCAAGATCAGGAGCTGCTATTGCACGCAACGACGGGCGTACTTACTCTAACAATAATCGGAAGAACCAGACTTCCATGTCGTCCGAGCGAAGTGCTCTATGGGCCCACTCATGGCTGGTTTGAGCGATCTTTGAGGCCGTGTGTTTCCCGTCCTCATCTTCGACAAAGTAACGGACAGCTTCCAGATAATCGTCTCCGGTTAACCGCAATGGTACATAATGAACCCAAGGCTTAAGCCATTCATCGTGCCATTCGCGAAATATTGCGATCTTATATACCAAGCTCTTACTTCGTAAGAAGGCATAGAAACGGCCGCTGAAGGCGTTGCCGTCGATGTCGACCAAGTGTCGATAAGCCCATGCATCTTGCTGGTCAACGGGTTCTGCAACTCCAAAGTATTCCTTCTGCGCTGCGCAGTCTTCCGCATCACATTGCCCAATGTACGTAAATTGGATGTCGAATAAGTCGTCCAGGGATGATCGGTCAATTTCGGTGGATGACCACTTGCCATCCTCTTGCTTAGCAAGTACTTCAGCGGTGTCCCGAGCAATGACATTACGCACGAACAGCTGCCGATGTTGACGCCGCCAGCCGCCAGCTCGGGAATATCCACCTGTGGTAGACCCTCTCCAGTACATCTTGTCCAGTTTGGCGTCCCAATTGACGTCCTGGGCAGCCTCGTAAGGCACCTTGTCCGCATAGTACCAGGGACTTGGGTAGAGTATGTCTTGGTAGCTGGAGATTTTGCTCTGAGAAAAGACAGGAAACAGATCGTGAACAACTTCGAACGTGTTGGGCCGATCAAAGAACCCGTATGTATTCTTCAGAGAAGGGGTATTGCAGATGTCCGAGAATGCGGTCGTGTTCGCGATGAATCCTAGCTCGCCCTGGGCGTAGGAGTCAATGTTGTCCAATGGCTCTTCATCAAGCGAGCGGACGGGAGAATCGACCGGGCATGATGATCGCGAATAGCTCCATGTTGACTGATGCGAGAACCGACTGAAGCGCGTGGTGCGCACCTCATCGATTCGGTCGCCTTTATTCAGGTCTGAAGGTCGATCGGACCATGCATTCTTCGGCGTCTCAGTTAGGGACGCATCTGGAATAGCATGCTCTCGTGCAGCCGTAACCAGCCGCTGAAGGTCCTCACTTGGGACAATTACTCGTGGTTCGTCGTGGGCATTGAACACAAGATCCATGTCGGGTAAGTACTCTGCAAAGCTCTTGATCATTTGCACCGTAGCACTCCGCTGCCATTTCTGTTCTTCGGTTCCTCCCTCGGCCAGAGTAACGGTCCCATTCCGGATCAAGACCCCGATCATGGAGTTGTCGAAGCCGAGAGTCTCGCGGGCCCGCCCGCGGATAGTCTTCGGTTTCAAGGCCCAGAACGGGAGGAGAGAGTGGTAAACGGTATCATACTCATCGATCAAGTGGACCCCCTTGGATTGAGCAAAACGAAACCATTTGTCGAAGTGTGGTGGAGGGTGCATTCCATAGCGGCGGCGGTATTCCTGGACAGCCTGGGACAGAGTCTTGGATTGGCGGGACCGTACTTGGTCCCATTCTTGATCTGCAGCCTCGCTTAATGCAGCGATCGGATGTTTTCCTGCAGGCGTCGAGGCTTTGTGATACGTTGATTGCTGAAGAAGCTGCTCGTTTGGCGGGACCTCGGGCCGTTGTGAATTGGCTGATGGACGGGGATCAGGCAAGGGCGAAAAGCTCGATGTGTCTGGAGAGGAATTGGAGCTTCGTACAAAGATTAGAACGATTGAAACAAGGATGAAAGTTCCTAGCCAGACCACCAGCCGTTGAGATCGCATTCTGCTGTTAGTATCAGATGTCGTGCATCGAAGAAGGACGACCTCAGCTTTGGTCGATACCCAGCTGTGGCTTTGTTTATATAGTGTAAACACTGCAGGGAAGTACTGTAGATGGCAAATAAGCGTAGTGTCAACACACTTGTCCACAGCTAGATGTTGACCAATTGAGGTCGCTGATACACACACAAAAGGCGATTTCAGACAGTATAATACTATAATCGGGATACTTTGGAGGAGAATTCAACTCGAGAGCAATCAATCGGTGAACACCAGAAAACGACTCGGAGTGTTGGCAAGGTACTAATAGATACAGGCGGTCCCTCGGGCAATCAAGATCAAGGCTGAAGCACAGGCCAATCAAGATTAGGTAGGCCCGGCCCATCGGTTGCCCGTACAATCAGGCCGAGCCCAGATCTTGTTTCCAATCTTGTTTTGAAACCTTGTTCGAAGAATACTAGGTCTTGTCGGTATAGTCTATACCATCTCCATTTGACAGCCTTGTCGTTATCCAGTCTCTGCGACAAATGCTTTCTCTGTCATTCCTTTTCATGAAATGATTCGGTCTCTTTTCACCTACAGTTTAGGTAGGAGCTTCCTGGTGCCTATATGTCGAAATCGTGCCTACGCACTGGCACAGAAGGCAGGAGCAAGCTTCTCATAATTAATATGATGAAAGGTAGAGAGGCAAGTCAATGAAGAGACCCGCCTGAGAAGGAAAAGCCTGGACATGCAGCCTTGGTTGCTATTTGTTGATTTGACCTCTTGACATCCAGAACCTTCCAAAGACCACCATGAACGATGGGGGAAAAGCGCTCGCTTAAACCCGTACTTCAATTACTTCCACCACCATGATGCTTCGCAGCCGGATGAAGCTGAATCAAGGACATACTATGTTGTACGCACACACGTTCGAGACCCAGCCTAGCATGAGTAGCCCACGCGCGACAACATAGCCATGCTTAGAGCAAAAGCCCACAACCCACATTAGCCATGCTCCCCACCAGGCCCTCAATCATATACATCCTGGCCCACTCCACATGCGAATACGCTGCAATCCCCAGGATCACTACCAAGCCAACATGCACCGCCCAGAAGACCTGCTGTCGCATCTTAGCCGATCCAGATCCGCTCCTTAAGCTCACAGCCCACCGAGGCTTCACTGCTGGACGAGCAAATAGCACCACCGATGTGACCGCAATCACGCCCAGAATTCCCCACTGGACGTCTGCATCGCGGATACGCTTCAGAAACAAGACCCCGAAGTCCGGGTGGCTGGATTGCAGGAAGAAAGAGTCGTAGAGAAGAGCATGGCCAAACAGCAGGGGTGTAATAACCAGCCGACCAAAGAGCCGATGATAGGCATTAATAGTCGGTTGGGGGATGGCGGTAAGCACGGAGATAAGAGATGGGGAAGCCGGTTTGGAGGTGAGATAAAGGGGCGGCGACATCAGAACCTGGAAAGGGAACTGGGAGAGAGCAACATGTCCAAGGGACTTGGTAAGGTGGAGGTAGTCTGGAAACTAGTTAGTTGCAATTCGTTGCTAATCATTGGATTGTGTATCCATGTTGTGATATTCCCTAAGCGGCGGGAATACTATCTGCTGAGCGACAAATCACAGGCTCGGTGATGGTAATATCACGGATGTAGCTTCAGACTATAGGCATAACATAGATAAGAAGAAACAGCCATACCTTCGCCAGAATTCCAGATGCAGAGACTCAAGAGCCACACTAGCCACACTGAGCAGACTAGGTACTGTCGCCGCGTCTCAATCCATCCAACAAAGGGGGGAGAGTCCAGCCAAGACTTGGGTGAAGGCTTGCGTCGGTTGGGCTTGGAGGGCTCCGATCCGGGCTGAGATGCCCATACATACAACCGCACCAGAACAATGGCTATTAGCATTGAGAATTGAGCGTAAGACCCCCGTAGGTCTAGGAGCTCACGACGCTGCTCCTTCTCTGCATCGGAGAGAGTGATAAAATGCCAGGGCCAGGAGAGAGTCATGGTGTCGACAACCGCAAAGGGTGAAGATCAAGGGGTGGAATCGAGGAGTGAGCAATTGAACAACGGTCAAAATCCAGCTTGCTCTTCTGCGCCGAAGAGGAACACTACACGTGAACGTGGTTAGAAAAATAAACCGATGCCTGTCTAATTGCGCCATCGGCTTTACGGGAATACACGTGGAATCACATGATTTATAGGACACCGAGATTGATTATGCCCATAATCACTCACTCACTCACACCATTGCCTGTCGGGCTCAGACAGCAAGGTTCAAAATACGGAGTAAAGAAAAAAAAGTACCGGGATCTGATTTTGCAGGATTATTGATCGTCGACCAAGAAGACTCTACAGGGAGAACGCCATCAAGCATTTCATACCAGCCAGGTTCTTCTGACTGATTCTAAGTTAGACAAAAACTAGAATTCCACCCAAATCCGCGCGAGTGCCGTGATATTAGTGCCCACTCACGCGCTCATGGTGCTAAGCCTACGGTGAAGTCTGCATAACTTCCTCGTGGCCGCCAGCGGCAGTGGTCGCAAAATACCGCACATCGACATCATCATCGCCTTGCAGCTTCTCCAGGCTAGGGAGAATTCTCTGTTGGATGAGTTCCTGACCCCGCGGCGACGGGGTGGCAGTTTGTCCTACTTTTTCAAGCTCTGTCAAAGTTCCTTCCGCCGGCAGGCGTCGCAGGGTATGGATCAATACAGCGTAGGACTTGGCAACGTTGAAACGGATGTTCGGGATCTCGTCCGACACAAGTCTGTCCAAGATGGGGAGAATTGAGTTCTCAATAATATCCATCGATACAACTGGGGCAAGAGTCTATTACAGAGGTTAGTAGCTAGATTTGAGAGAGCTCAAGAGTTCACGTACGGAAATAGCGAAGCACGTGGTCATCCGGTAGAGGTAGTTGGGGTGCTGGCCCATGGCCATGACTTTGGGAATTATGGATCCCTTAGCCCAATCAACGCCGAAGACCTCTGTGAGCTTCCTCAAGTTCGTTGTGGCAGCCTCACGGATGGAAAAGACTGTATCGCCGAGCCAGCCCATGCAAAGATCGCTCAGCTGCTCATCGAAGAACTTGACGCCCAACTGGCTGGCAAGCAGAGGAATATATTCGATGATGGCCAGTCGGACACGCCATTGCTTGTCTTCGGCCAACTGTACAATAGCCGGCAGCAAAGACTGGGACAGGAGGTCAATGCCAATGACTGGTTTGGTTAGTCAATGGACTTTATGTCTTGCCATTGCGTATACTCGCTCACCTTTGTTAACCAACTCCAGCTTGGAGATGATGTGCAAACGAACATCCGGGAATTCATCCTTGAGCATCTGCAAGAACATCGGAAGGAGATGGGCAGTAGTCCTAAGCAGCGTTAATGAATAAATAAAAAGGCTCGCATTCAAGCATATGTACTTACTCCTCCTTGCCAAGTATAGGTGCAAGGCCACTGATTTGAGTTCCCAGTGCTGCGCGGACGTGTTGAGAGGGATCCGACACAAGATCTTCAACACTCGTCATGATCTCATTAAGCAATGTATCACGGTCGATCAGGCTGCAGAAGCCTAATCCAGAGTCAGCTATCGAAATTGTTACCAGATGCGGCACTAATACCTGGGATCTGGCCAGCAATAGCGGTGCGGACTTCAGCTTCCGTGTCTTTCAGAAGCTTAACAAACGAAGGAACCATGTCACGAGTGACAACTTCCTCGTGGACGGCTTTAGCGATCTATGTCCCTTGTCAGTCAACTGCGGCTGGGTTAGGTTTTGTGGTCGACAAACCTTTTCGTAACGGTCGGCAACCATGTATCTGACTCTCCAGCTCTTGTCCTCGAATAGATTCCTCAATGAAGTCAGAAGAACACCATGGCTGGGCTGCTGCTCCTTGGGGATTTCCTCCGCAATCGAGATAAGCACATCCACAGTAAGCAACCGCACGCTATCCTGTTCATCGGTGGCGAGATGCTGAAACAAGGGTATTATTTCCTCGATGACAACTTGGGTGTTCAGTTCCTTGATGAACTTGGCGAGGTTGTTTCCTGATTGTCTTCTCACCATCGGTGTGTCGTCATGCACGAGGCTTCCATAGTATTGACGGAGGGTTTGCTGTAGTGTGGGCGAAGCCTTCCTATATGGGACACAGTAGAGCCCAGTCGCGGAAACTTTCGAGGTGAACCAGTCGGCTTTCGAAAGGCGCAAAACCATCGGAATGAAATATTCTTCGATCTGTTTCTCGGACAGCTGCTCTCCGATCTTGTTAAGAGATTCTACGGCCTGGTTGCAAAGCCATCAGCATGACCACAGGCAATTAAAGATCCTAGTGAAAGCGCTCGCGGGTCCGTACCTTTTCTCTGACCAGAGGTTCTTCGATAGCGGCCAAATTCTCGAGGGGGGAGAGAAGTACATGCCCGTACTCTGGGCCACCAACATATTCTGTGAAGTTTCCAAGCTCCTCGCTCAACGCGGTCAAGACCTCATCTTCATCCTCGACAGAGTCTGTGAACACAAGGTTAGGCGCATTCTATGTGACACCGTCCATCTCTCGCATATTGGGGACTAACCATCGAGGAATGGGATCAGCTCTTCCCGGGTTCTCTCGGGCCCTAGAGCCAAGGCAATGGTGGAGAGGCGGTGAATAGCATTGAGACGGAGGAGGACATCGTCGTGCTGGATTGATCGAGTGTCAGGACCGACAGTGCCCGCACGTGGGGACAATAGCGGAGTCAATGGTGACTATCATACCTTCAGCTCGTCGATAAGGACGGCGATAGGGTAGAGCTCGTCGTTTTCACCCTGACCCTCCATCGCGACTATAGTATAAGACTTTTCGAGTTGAGTGTTTGAGCGACAACCAGAGAGGTGAGGTTATAACCGATCCACGTCCTCGCTCAGGCGATTATTATCCGACCCGCTCGCACGCGAACACGTCGAATATTTTCTCGAGAGGGGAAGGGGTTCTGGAACTGAGGAGCGGTTTTAGGAGGGGCCAAAGAATGGAGAGCACCTGTTCGAGATCGGATGGATTAGTGTCGGGTGGGGAAGGTCTTGAGTGGGTGGTCTATGGGAAAAGGGAGGATGGGAGCAGTGAGTGATGAGTGGTGAGGAAGAACCCCGGAGGAGGTTTCGTGGGGTTTGGGCCGCCGCAGGACACTTGAGCAATAATAGCAGCGGTAGCGGCATACCTCAACAATTGCGACGGGATGAGAAGTTGGAGATGCAGAATTCACTCCAAATGAATTGTGAAGCTCAGTAGAAGCTCGTATGAAGGGAGTCAACAGATGACCAGGAAAGAGAGTAGGTTTGGTGCTGGTGGGTGGAAACACAGTTAGTAGCTGAAGGGGAGATTACGAAAGTGACGGACCGACTGAGAGAGAGGGAGGTTCAAGGAAGCATGGACTGTGGCTGGTGAGGTAGTGGGTGACGGTGACGGAGGGGTGATTTGGCACGTGGCGGTGCGGCTAGGAGATGAAGTGTGGCTGACCCTCCGAATCGTCGCCGCCTTTGCGAGCGAAGAGTCAAAAAGACTTTATATGACTCTACGATTATCGACCAGCGCATCCAGCCACGCTCCCTCCCTCTACTTTCTTCACTGACCCCTGTTTCGCGGCAGTCGTTCTGGTCCGATCTTACACAGTCGTTTCTCGGTCTATGGGAGGCTGGTACAACTCGATCTGATATCCCACAGTTTCCTCACATTGCTGCGAAGCCCAAACCCCTCATCATGCCCACTATTTCGGTCGACAAGGCCGCCCTCTTCGAGGCGCTCGGACGGGAGTATGCACTTCTTTCGTCCTCTCACATACCTTCCGACTGCATATCTGACTCAATTGTTGCAGGTATACCACCGAGGAATTCGATGAGCTTTGCTTCGAGTTCGGTAAGTTGATCCAGATTGGCCATGGCGGGGCAATGTACTGACTGTTTACCACTTAGGTGTCGAACTTGACGAAGACGTAAAGGCCCCTTTTCGCTCTCCTCGGATATGCAATCAGACTCTAATAAAACTATGGACACTAGACTACGAACCAGGACCGCCCGATTGTGAATGGAAAGCAAGAGCCCCCTCAACTCAAGATCGAGATCCCCGCCAACCGGTATGCATCCAGAACATCCCCTCGAGACACCTACATATGTTGAGACCGTCGCAGGTATGACATGCTCTGCTTCGAGGGCATTGCCCTCATGCTCAACATCTTCTTGGGCCGCCAGCCGGTTCCCAACTACAAATTGGTTGAGCCTGCTAGTGGACAGCTCGAGACGATCATCGTTAAGGAGGATGTAAGTCGCAATTGAACACCTGCGCCCCCAGCATCGGGCACTGATTATATGGAACAGACCATGAAGGTCCGTCCTTTGGTGTCCGGTGCCATCCTCCGCAACGTCAAGTTCGACCAAGCGCGCTATGAATCCTTCATTGCCCTGCAAGATAAGCTCCACCAGAACCTGGCTCGTCAAAGAACTCTCGTGTCCATCGGTACCCACGATCTCGACACCATCCAGGGACCTTTCACCTACGAGGCTCTACCCCCTAAAGACATCAAGTTCACCCCTCTCAACCAAACCAAGGAGATGAACGGTGAGGAGTTGATGAACTTCTACGAGGTATGACTCATGGCGCTGCGGGCTTGGCCAGCGGACTCAGTACTCATTCTCTGAATAGAAAGACAAGCACCTCGGCAAGTACCTGCACATCATCCGGGACCACCCCGTCTACCCCGTCATCTACGACTCGAAGAGAACCGTCTGCTCTCTGCCCCCCATCATCAACGGCGATCACTCGAAGATCACCCTGGACACCAAGAATGTCCTCATCGAGATTACCGCTCTCGATAAGACGAAAGTGGAGATTGTCAACCGTATGATGGTCACCATGTTCTCTCAGTACTGTACTGAGCCTTTCACGTAGGTTTCCATCACATGTCGTGCGGAGCCCACCACTGACAATCAATACAGCATCGAGCCTATCAAGATCGTCTCCGAGCACAACAACGAAACCCGAGTCGTTCCGGACATCAGCCCCCGCAAGGCCGAGGCGGAGGTCTCCTACATAAACCAGTGCTGCGGTCTAGAGCTCAAGCCCGAGGAGATCTGCACGCTCTTGAAGAAGATGGCCTACGATGCTAAGCCCTCGACGACGAACCCCGACATCCTCGACGTCTATATTCCCGCCACCCGAGCGGATGTTCTCCACCAGGCCGATATCATGGAGGATGTGGCCATCGCCTACGGCTTCAACTCCCTGCCCCGCTCCTTCCCCAGCAAGTCCGGCACCATCGCCCAGCCCCTCCCCATCAACAAGCTCACCGACATTGTGCGCGTGGAAGCCGCCATGGCCGGCTGGTCCGAGGTGCTGCCGCTTATCCTGTGTTCGCACGACGAGAACTTCGGCTGGCTCAACCGCAAGGACGATGGCAACACGGCGGTCAAGCTGGCCAACCCCAAGACCCAGGAGTTCCAGGTTGTGCGCACCAGCCTGCTGCCCGGTCTCCTGAAGACCATCCGCGAGAACAAGCACCACGCCGTCCCCATCAAGATCTTCGAGGTCAGCGACGTCGCTTTCAAGGATCTCTCCCTGGAGCGCAAGAGCCGCAACGAGCGCCACTTCGCCGCCGCCTGGTACGGCAAGACCAGCGGTTTTGAGGTCGTCCACGGTCTGCTGGACCGTGTCATGGCCATGCTGAAGAGCGCCTTCATCACTGGCGAGGAGGGACTTGAAAACTCTGCCATGTCTGATTCGCAGTACTGGATCGAGGAGCTCGATGGTGAGTATATCTCGAGCTACACCCCAACATGAAAGTCAAGTCATTATAAAAAATAACAAGCAACACTAACGACTCGAATTCCCCTAGAACCCACATTCTTCCCTGGCCACGCCGCCTCCGTTCATGTGCGCATAGCCGGCAAGGAGCTCGTCATCGGTTCCTTCGGTATCCTCCACCCCACCGTCCTGGAGAACTACGACCTCAAGTACCCCGTCAGCACCCTGGAGCTGAACATCGAGGCTTTCCTATGATTGATTGATGACCCCGGGCTGAGAGAAGACGTAGATGTGAGGGATTAGATCTACTTTCTTATGCATAGGGATCAAAAGACAGCTGAGATTCATGAAATAAGATGTCATTGCTAGAATGAATAAAAAAAAGGACAAAAAGGACAATATCAAAAGCGAAATCAGAAGAGGTGAAGCATGTGTTTACGTAATACATTATTCATTCGCTTCGATAGTACTATACACTGCGGGCGACCAGTTGGCCAGCCTTCAAAAGTCTTCGCCTTGAGGCACGAGCGGGGCTACACTCTGTAAAACACAATTAAGCATCTACACATAGATCTACACTGTTTACCGGGGTATCGGCGTACGAAGTGTGGGGACCAGAAGAAAGGCTTGGCTAGAACTCGTTTCGGGCATGAATTTTGACTTTTTTTCTTTCTCTTGCTTTCTGTCTTTCCTACCTAGGTCGTATCGACTCAGGGTGTATATCGAGCGAGGTAATTAGAGACATGAGAGGGGGGAAAGGTCTTTTGAGAGATACTGACGTCCCCCGTCCGCCACAGGAAGCGGCACGAAGGAAATGACGATAATCACCGGATAAGGATCATGAAGTTGTTTATTTGCGTCAGGTAAGAGAGATATAGGTAGGTCGGACAGGAAACGGAGAAAAAGAGAAAAGAGCAGGGGGGCCTAATATGAGAGAAAAAAAAGAAGAGGAAATCCAATTGATTTTTTTACTCCTGAGCGAACTCAGCGGGGGCGGCACCCTCCTGACCCTCGGCGGCCTGCTGCTCGGCCAGACGCTGCTGCTCAGCGGCCTGCTGGGCGGCAAGAGCCTTAGCACCGTAGTCCTGGCTGATGGGCTGGAGGATGGGCTGCTCCTCCTTGGGCTCGATGATGGTGACGGAGTCGGGAAGGGTCTTCTGGGGGCCGGCCTTGCCCTCGGGGTCGGAACCGCGCATGATCTTGACCTTGATACCGAGGACACCCTGGCGGAGGAGAACGTGGCGGGTGGCGCTGTCGATGAACTCCTTGGCGGGCTGACCGGAGTGGATCATGAAACCGTCCTGTGGAGAAACAAAATCGTGTTAGTCTCGAGACATTTATGTTTAGATTACACGCCATGAAAATGACGTGCATCCGCAAGCTCAACGGATCTGGTCCCGATCTCTCGTGAGCAGTTGTAAATGCTGTCGCATGTCGCAATCGCGGACAATTTGCATCGATCCATCCAGCTGCTGTATCGAGACCATATTCCGCGGCTGATTCAGGATGGCTTGATCGGTGAGAAACGTACAGTGAACTTCATGGACTTGGCACGGGCAGCACGGAGCTTTCCGGAAACGACGACCTCGCAACCCTTGGCACCGCTCTCCATGATGAATCTGAGGACACCGTAGCAAGCACGGCGGACGGCGAGACCGTTGAGGAGCTTGTAGCGGAGGGACTCGCACTGAGCGACAGCGGAGAGACCACGGTTCTGGACCTTGGCGGCATAGAGAGAGACGGAGTTCTCGGGGAACTTGAAGCGCTTCTGGATGAGGGAGGTGAGCTCGCGGATGCGGCGACCCTGCTCACCGAGAACCTCCTGGGTGTGGGTGGCACGGATGACTGTAGCAAAAGAAAGAGCATCCGTTAGCAACCGATTCGTTTTTTTCCTTTGGTGTTTTCCTCCATTGTTGATATTCCCACTAGTCCCCCACCCATATCCAAAATTTATTCCAAGCTCCTTTCGTATTGTTCCATCGATTGTTTCCACCCTCTCGACTTTTCCTCGGACATTCTCCTTCCACCTCTTTCCCCTCTCAAAACAAAACAAGGCAAATCAAATCGGGCGACGTACTGATGTCGGTGACGGTGGGAGTGACACGGACTTCGACACCGGAGTAACCCTCCTCAGCCAGCTCGCGCTGGAAGAACTCGTTCAACTCGGCATAGAAGACACCGTCGGCGACGAACTTGCGGCGCTTCGAAATAGCTCCCTGGACAGCAGCCATGTTTGCGTTTCTGGGTGGTGAATTGGCGAAAGAAACGGCCGAGGACGCGGGTGGTTGAAGGGGGGGTAGTCGTTCGAGGGCGAATTGGTCGGCGGCGGTCAAGTCAGTTTTGTGAAGGTCGGCGGTAGTGGGCAGTTTTTGGCTTTAGGGCTTGATCATCCCCTTTCGGGTTAGGGCTCAACCTCGCTTGCTGCTCCGCGGGCACCTTTCCTTTCTGGGTAAGCTTTCCCCTCCCGGGGCCCTTCTTTAGTTTAGGTCCCCCGGGTATTTCAGCCTGAGCATACAGGCACCATCACCTAAAATAACATACAACAAACATAGAAACATGAGTACTCGAGTAAGTTACATCCAGTCTTTCGGTCTTTCGCTCTCTTTCAAAACTCTCTTCTTCTCTGTTTATACATACTGCACCTCGGTCCCTTCGCAACTTCAGAGAAGTGGATGGTTAGACTTCCAAGTCACCGTCAATGGCTGAAACCCCGAAACTCAGTAAGGACCTCTGTCAAGAAACACTTCTTTACAGATCCAGCGGGGTTGCGCAACCCCCCACATGGGTGGTACTCGGCATGTTTCCTCTCTCCTGGCCTTGACTAGACCATGCACTGGTCAATCCGGCCTTAGAACTGTATCTCTACCGACAAAACCAAGACAGAATATGCTGCGTCAAAAAAGAAAGACTAAGGGGGCATAATAGCTAGATAACAAACAGAAGACTCGCCGCCTTTTATAGATTGCCTGCCTAGACCGACTCCGACGCAATGCGTCATTGCATCTCGAGCTCCATGCGATTCATGTTTTTCGTATCCTGGTTGTTCTCTTTGCTTTTTGGGAAGGCCAAATTAGAGATCCCCGCAGTCACAGTTGCGATGCCGCTCGGTGGGGCGTTGTTAGCATCTTTGCCAGCGGAGCCAGCGCCGACAGAATGGTTAGCGGTCTCCATCCCAGTCAACACTGGCGACCGCTGAGCACTCGGAGTCTCACGGGGAACCGACAACCCCGAGCCAGGGGCCCGAGGGCCATTCATTTCAGCATCGGTTCTACCAAACGCTTCGCTCCACCACCGCACTTCATTGACGCGTGGGAAGACTAGACGTTCTTTTCCACGTTTGTGATCGTCAATCTGCGGGTCATAGTCAGGGTTGAGGAATTGTTCCCTCCGTGCCAGAAAGTAGTCCCAAACGCTCCGAGTACGCCCTTTAGCGTTCCACTCTACCCGCTCCTTCTCACTGTTGAAGAGGAATGTTCCGAATTGACACGAGTACAAATGGTACAATAGTCGTCGCAGGAACCGTTCATTGAACTCGAACCGGGTAGGGTGCTGATAGAGCAACTGATAGGTTGCATCTAGGAACTGGTGGAAGACCGGGCTTGTTTCCTTGACTTTGGTTACCTCCTTTTCCACAGCTGTTGCTCTAGGCACTGAAGGCTTCTTCGCATTGTCGCCGTCATAGGATTGCATCTCCCCATCCGACTCTCCAAGAGAATCGCGACTATTGTTGTCTCTGTTAAAAAATCCCTTGGCGCTAAGGAAAGCATTCTCGATAGCTCTGCTGGCACCACCAGCCTCGCCAAATGCTCGATTTGAATCGCCGCCGATCCGTTCGTTTTCGATTTGGAACCACTTCTCGCTGTTGAGATGTCCAGCCCTGTGTCGGAACATGTGCCCGAATGATAGCCAATCCTTTTCTACCAACACCATAAAGCCCTCCAGTGTGCGAAAGTAAGGGTCTAGGCACAGTTGACTCAATGCGCTCAACTGACTCGTTCGATCCCATCCGTCTGAGCAATGGATCAAGACATGCGAATGCTGAAGCCCAACCTGGCGGGCGATCAGACCCGCACCATCTAGAACCGTCGAGATATGTTTCAGCCAATTGCTCCGTGCAAGCTGGTCCTTATTTGGCCCTAAGGGGGTCACATCAGAGTCCTTGAGAGCATCGATCACTTTGTTGAGGGAGTCCCTCATCACGTGGATGTTGTCGATCCCGAGGTACGCCTTGGTAGCGAACTTGTAGTTGTCCATATTCTCCGATCCAAGCCCGACAGCTTGCATAGCGAAAGCGTTGACGGTTGGGCGAGCATCAACAATGAGATTGCGCTGCTGGGCTCCGTAGATGTGGGGCTTTTCCTCCGGGTCGCCGGCAAAAGATGCCAGCATTTCATCTTCCAATTCCTCGGCATTGGTCAAGTCAGCCAGCATCTGACTACTGGAGGGATCACTTGATGTCGAACTGGAGGATTCCGGCTCCAGATTCGGCGGTGTGAAGTTCGCGAGCGGTCGTTCGGGGCGGGAAGTAGAGAAGATCGCGGCGAGCAACTTCTCGTCCTGAATGCTTCGGTTTTGGCGCACACCCACCAGTGGCTGCGAGCTTCGTGTGATGGAGCAATTGTTCACAGGGTGCAGATACGTCAAAGCGGGTACCCTGGCTCTTGACCGATATTTGCCAGCATGATTGAGCGTGATGTCCGAAATGGTAGTCGGCACAGGTATGAGAGCAGGGTAGGTCGCAGAGAACTGAGGTTCAATGGTTAATGATGTAGCCATCTCCGTTGTCTTCTCAGGGCATACTTGCCCCATAATCAGCGTTTAGTTGAGATACCCGCCAACCCGAGCCATCCTGGTCTACGCCTTGCCGAGCCCATTCCTTGCGGGCATCATACAGTTCCCAACCATTGAACTTCTGCTCAGGGGGGGGCGGCTGGTAGGAAAAAGCATACAGCTTGTCGATGCGTCCGACCTTACAGGTCCAGCACTTTATGGTTTCGTATACATCTCGGCCCTTGCTCTCGCTAGTGAAGTAAAAGCAAACGAAGGTGAAGTCCCGACACCGTAACCGAATCGAAGATGGCTGGCGGGCTGCGGCGGGGGTGGGGCGATAGGTACAGAAGGAGATGATAGGATATGTGATCCAGAGCTCCTTTGACCGGCCAGCAGTATTGGGGGGTTGAGATTTATCGGTCGGGGGAGGGATATAGGAGAAAATTATATGGTGAGAGGTAAGATGGAGTGTACCGACGACCTGTTCACCGCGACGCGCCAAGGTCACATCTTCAACCTGGGGAATCATCGACAGGAAATCGTCAGCTTGTGTTTCAGATTCATCCGTTCTCCACTATGATGGGACCGACCTTAGCAACTCGTGTTCTCTCCATGCCTTAGCTGTCAGTTTCTCCGCATAAGCTTCATGGCTGGGGGGAGGGATTGGCAACAATTGAGGTTCGGTGCGCCGGCACGGTCGGTAAGTATGACGACAGGCAAAAGGACACAAAGAGAGATTGCAAAAAGGACTATCTGAGCACAAGAAGGAAGGACAGAAACACAAAGCACCAGACCGTTGGAGATGTATCGAAGAGAGAGGGATAACGAACACTAACTTGGAACAAAGTTGGAGGGGGGTTAATTTCAGTAGCGGGCACGGACAGCTCGGCCTGATGCGGAGCCCCTCGTCCTCGCTACAGGCCCGATCATCGATGGCTGCTGCTGCGCTGCAACTACGTCAAGTCTGCCCGCCCATGTGATCTAGTTCTTACTGTAGTGTAGTTCTTAGTTGCCCATTGCCTCCATGTAACTGACCATACTTTGTACACTCATTCATGCCAACCATAAGTCACTCTTATCCTTGATCAGTCTCAAAAGAGGATATACCCTGCTCTTGCATGCTCGATTGGAATACTCGGCTAGTCATAAATTCAGTACAGATTAGATCACTCGTTCGCTGGTGAAGCATTTCCCGATTAGGAAACTCGCCTGACTACAGCGCAGATTGACAGTGATCAGCTCCACAACTAATAGAATCTCCATGTGACACTATCGACCTGTGAGCTCGATCTATCACCGGTCCTTCTCTTGTCTATTGTCTTTCATGAGCAGGAGGGCAGTTTCTTTGAGTATCTGTGGCAACAATCTGCACTACTGGTGACCACTGCCAGTATCAACACTCTGTATACCACCCGCAATATCACACCCTACCATCAAGCCAACTAACAAGCAGCATATTTGCCCGATCTTCAACTAAACACCTCTCGTTGCTCGCGGATAAATGTCCAATCTATACTGTCCACTCCCCCCGCGGGACCAGGATATATTTCGTTTCCGTCGCCCCTACGGAGTGAACTTAGGATCAACCTTCACACAAGGCCCGTCCCTCAACCAATCCACCGCACCAAATGAGCTAGAAGCACTGACAAGGTCTGTCACACCCCCTTTATAAGCCCTCAAACTCTGCATCACCAGCATAATTCAACCCAAACAGCTCCATCGAAACCAACAGACTCAAAGCCACCGCCTCAACATGGCAATCCCACTGGCTTTCCGCCCTGCCAAACGACGAGCTGCTCCGGCTCAGAGACACCTGCCACTGCAACACGATCCAACTGGCCCTGGGATTCCTGACCCTCGGCCCTCTCTTCAGCCAAGGAACCCCCTTCGAGGGCGCCCCAGCCCAGGTCTACACACGCTGCTGGTCCGCCATCAAGCATCTCATTGAGCGATGCCACGCCTACGGCATCGGGATCCTCCTCAACTTCAACCTCACCGCCAACGAGGTGGATCTCCGCTCCAGCCCCGAGCGCCTCGCACTCGCCCGCGACTGTATCGCCTTCATAGCCCAGGAGGTAACCTTCCACGCCCTGCACGGGGTGGTCGGTCTACGGGTCTCCACCTCCACGGAGCAGTCGAGGCCGGATCCCCCGACTCTCCGCGACTGGTACAAGGAGATCAGGATGATCGTCAGCGCCATCGACGAGTTTCTGCCCCTGTACATCAGCGATGAGAGCCCCGCGGGGACCGAAATCTTCCCTGACAGCGAGACGCCGCTCCACCACCACCACCACCAATTAGTCCAGGCGGACTGCGGACAGCCGGAACCGGCAGGAACGACGACTTTACCCCCGGCCCCCGGCCATCTGCTACTCTCGCGGGACGAAGTCCAGACGAGGGCCCAGCAAGCCCGGATCGAGCGGCCGCAGTTACTGAGGGAGGCCTTGGCGCGCCTGGAGGGAAAGGAGGAGGTAGGGGAGAAGCGGGAGAGGGCAAAGGAGAAATACTGCCACAGTGCGGCGGGACGGCAGAGTTTTGTCCACGGCTGGGATCTGGGGTACAGCGATGCGCTGCGGTTTTTCGATGCCGCGGTGGAAGGCTTGGTGCCGCAGCGCGCGGGGGCGGACAAGATCGGGGAGCTGGAGTTGTGGGTTCGTCGACGGGCAAGCGATGTTGCACGGCTGGAAGAGAACCACCAGGCCTGGGAGCTGGGGCTTCGACGAGGGATTGCCGATTTCAATCGGTTCGTGGGCATTTGAGTTGGGCTTTTTGGTTCCTCCGCGTAGGTGTGATATTGCATGTGGGTTCGTCGGTCCCGGTTTTATGAGAAGTAACGTGGACCAGCTTTGAATGTAGATCCTCACGCAAATAGCAGTATACTTCTCCGTCATCTGTCAGGTCAAGTGGCTGGGCAGAAACATAGGTACAGTACTCTACAGGCACCGAAGATTCGGACCTGCTTTTACTTCCCCGCAAGCACTGAGCTGAGCCTATTCCATTAGATATCTCGTAGTATACATGCCTCATGCCAAAAAGTCCCCAAGAAAATATAAATACATGAAAGGTGGTCTAATCCTGTACGCCAGAAGACACTTTTTTGGGGTTCTAGAACACCTCCGGACCTTCAGAGGCCGCCTCCGTTTGGCGGGCCATATCCACGTCAAACGCCAAATTGCATGCTGATTTGTAGAATTCATGGAAGCCATCTTCAACCACGGACTCAGCCGCGCCAGGAATGGCGTCCGACAAGCCCGGGATGGGGCTCGCGATGTCCTTGCTCAAAAAGAGCTCGGTGGTACGATGAGGCAAGAAAGGCCCACTCTCGTAGTAGGAGTAGTTGAGCTGCTGGCCGCCAAAGTTGTATCTGTGGACCCGGGTGCCCCGGGCGTCGTTCACCGGGAGGAAAATGTAGTCTGCCGTCAAAGTTTCACCGTTCCTGACCGTGGCCTGGCCCAGAAGCTTACGAGGCAGGGTGATCTGAGTGAAGGTGGGAAGAGGGACCTCGCTGCCACTGGACTCGAGAGACTGCTTGAAAACGTTTCGCAGGCTCTCCTCAAGTGCACCTAACGATGGATCGATTGCGGAACCCGTAGGAAGCTCATGGGTCAAGCGTCGGCTGAATCGGAGATCGAGCCCGTTCTCTGGGAGAAGGAAATCGAGTTTGCTTTCAGCCAAAACCACCTTGGCACTCTGAAGAGCAAATTCTGGGCCGGTGTAAAATGGAGACTTGGAGGTATTCACTGTGACCTCCACCTCGAGTTGCGGGAAGACCTGGGCATGGAAAGCTGAAGGCACCAATCGGATGCGGTGCACCTGTTGCTCATCGGACTTCTGAGGCACCAGATTGTTCAAGAACGGTGCCGCACGAGGTATATCTGTAGTAAACGTACGTGGGAGGGACAGCCGGCCAAGTTGAGGAGCGCTGACCGATGTCTCATCAAAGGCAGACTTGCGGAAGAAAAGACATTTTCCAACCGCCGCAGTGACAGACTCACAAACATTGGTGGGATTCTCGATGCCAATAGTCTTGTTGATCTTGGGATTTCGAAGCAATTTGAGAAGCACATTAGACAGACGGGATTGATGCTTGTTAAAGAACTTGCGCCTTTCTAGCAGGGAGCCGGGCGTCAATATCTCGCCGGTCTCATGTGGAACTGCCCATCTGAACCACGAATGTCGTCGATCAAACCATGGTGTGTTGAGCTCGGGATCGTAATTATTGACGCTAGCCATTTCTGTAGCAGGCAGGTATGTACTGAACGGGGTAGGAGGGTTGTTTGTGCTATGCCATGCAAGATGCAGTGCCCTGTGAGCATCATCCGCCTGCTGTTTGTTTTCGGCAAGATAGGACATCCGCTTGGGCGTTTGTGATGTCTTCACATCGAAGGTCACCCCATAAGTCTTGTTGAGCCAAGATAGAAAGTCAGGGCTTTTGACGCGAGCATTAGCAGTTATGTCGTTCTCGTTGACTGGCAGTGTGAGGTCTTCCTCCTGTATTCTCATGGTGGCGTCACGAATGATGTCCCTGATGGATTCACATGCATTCTGTCGTCCAGTTACCCTTAGAACCCCTAGCACCTGGGAGACATCAATTTTCACATCGTGTAGAACAGCGAGCTCCTCAAACGAGAAGTTTTCGGCGTTCAGAAGCGTACTGAATGCGGTGTCAGACATGGGGACATCAAGCTGGCCGATTTCGCCATCGATACTCAGTTTCCAGCAATCCCGAAGAATTCTCTCAGCAAAAGCCTCCTTCCCTTTCAGACCCTGAAGTGCTCCAGTTCGGATAGAAGCACGTTTGGGTGCCGACTCCATGAGATTCACAACCCCAGGTTGCCAGAGTTTGCCGTCAGAGTCACCCCGGGGTGTGTCTTTGTCTTTGTCTTCGTTGTCGATTCGTTGTTGGAGATATTCAGTGAGGTGTGAGCTCTTGAACGATGAGCGAAGGTGATATCTAAGGTCATTCCAGTCGGCGCGTGGTAATTTGTCGTAGGGTTGGTAAGCGGAGCCTAGCTCGTCAATGTGAGCAATATAGAGGTCTTCGTCGGCAAAAGCGGCGTCTTTCTCCAGTTCCTTCAGCATGAAATGCTTTCCCTTGGATTCTTCCAACAAGTTTTCCTCTGCGAGAGGCTCCGAACGTCTGCGACGTTTGCGATCCTGGATAACCACGACCTGAGCCGGGTCTCCCAAAGAACGCACCGAGATTGGTATCGTGTGGCTCTTCGACTTTTGTCGTCTGATTTGCTCTTTCTCGCTCAAGACACGACGCATGCGCTTGATGCGGCCGTGCCGACGTCTGGTCTCCTCTGCTTCTAGGTCTTCTAGAGAAAAGAAGCCCCCGACGCTATCGCCCGCATCGTCCGAGTGTTTCTCGGATTTGAATCGAGCAGTAACATTGCGCCTGCGCAACGGAAGGGTGTTCTCTGTTCTGCAATAAGGGCGCAGCGGACATTTCAGGAGCCCTACCACTCCTTTCGACGACCGGGAATTCATATGGAAGACGAGGCGTGTGGGATGAAACTCAAGAGTCTGAAATCTCGCGCGATCGAAATCTTGAAGCTCAAAAAGAATGGAGGCAATCGCCGAAGACGCTAGCCCCAAAATAGAATAGTCATGTCAGCCTCCGGGGGGCGTCGGCTCAAGCCTCATCCACTTTTCTACTCTTTAGACTGTACAACACGGGGAACCATTCTGTCTCTCACCATGATCAATCTTTAAAACACCTTTCAATTTAGGGCTTGTAGTCGGCACGAAGACTATGTACGATTGATGGGGTATGATTTGTAGTTCTGTCAACCGGCTTCATGATTGTCGCGGTTCACTCCTTGCTTGCAATTTCCCAGCTCCGTAGGTCCTCGCGGACATCGAACTCGGATAATTCGTGGTCCGCATTACGACTCTTCCAGCTCCTCCCTTTCGGATTGTCATGGAGTTGTTGTTCGATGCTCCCATCTTTCCTATTATGATCCGCGCTCGCCCCTGTCTCGGACACCTTTGGTTCAGTCCGGAAATGGTTGCTGGATGAGCTCCGAGGTCGCTTCTCGAAGCTACTGGGCGACAGACGATTTTCCGTCGACGTTTGCCTTATGCCCGTCCGGCTATACGGGGAAAGTCGGTCAGTGTGGTGATCGGTGGAGTTGGCAAATGGCGAGTGCTGGTTCTCTGCCCAGCTGATGCTCCCGGAAAACAACTCTTCAATCAGCTTATCCGCCGGTAAGTCATCGGCTCGCGAAATCCAAGAAGCAGCCAGGGTACGGCGATACATGTCCTGCATGTCAGTGACCTCTCTGCTCTGGGAATATATGGATGGCAGCCTGCCGAGGTCGTCGTGCTCGCCTTGTTCGGTGGAGACAACACCGGCGATCCCTCCGAACACCATCGCTGATTTGAGGGGAGGCCTGGATTAGGTCAAATTGTCAGTCGCAAACACTTCGGATGATGTCTTAATGCGACGGCAGAACGTACGTAACGAAGTTCCGATCACCTTCGACCTGGCGTAGAGCTATCCCGACCTTAAGCGTGCTGTTGACCTTGCTGTCCTGCATCAAGTAGCGCCTGACGATGCCCTCCTCGTCGTCACTCTTGTCCACATACTCCGACAAGTTGAGCCTGATCTTCCCCAGGATGCTCTTCTCATTATTTCCGCCCGACGCAAACTCTTGTATGACCTCGAAGTATAGTTCGCATTCGTGAAGCGTCTGATTTCGATCGATTGTTAGTCGGACTTGCAGCGCTTTCTCGTAGTTCCAATATGCTCTGTGGTCTATAATGACCGCTTTGTCGGTATGCCCATGGTGTTCGGGCGCACATCCAGAAGGAAGGCGCCACTTCACAAACGCTGTGCCATTCACAAGGGGTACATTGTTGAGGTCAATGACCTGAGAGAAAGCCCTCAATTGTCAGCTCCAGATAACGCTTGCAATGGCTCTTGACGGGGGGGAAGCCCTTACTCTCAGCATCAACTCAAACTTAGGCTATAAACCGATATCAGCACTTAAGACTCCTAAGCACCGACACAAGCGAGCCAACTTACTCTCCTGTTCTTCGGAACTAGCATATCGCGCTCAAGGGTCAGCGCAAGAGATTCAGGAGAGAGATGAGATCACAGCGCCCTGAGGAGTCATGTGCAGGGGTCGGTCGCAAACGCAGAAAACATACCAAAGGCCTGCATAGCTGGTAAGCTCGAGGCCTACAGTTTCACGGCCCTGTTAGGATCACTCGTTTCATTTAATTCGCAGATGGCTTTCCAGTGCAATCCACACTTATCACGATAACGTCTCCGGTCGACAACCATCTCCGATACGTCCGCCGACTCTCCCCACATGCCTTCCCGTGCGAAGGCGGCATATCTGCCAATACTGTCGGCAGGAACTGACCGCCCTTGGAGATGTTTGGCGGTGAACTATCGAGTCCGCAGTAATTGCGTCCGAGACAAAATTGCCTGAGCTTCAGCAACACTCTCAAGCCAAGAACACGATCGCGCGCGAAACTTGGTGTTGGCGCACGCAAAGTCCCTCTAACTTTCTAGCACGCTTCTTCAACCCCGTGAAAATCAGAATGAACGCGCCGCCTCCAGCCGCAATGGATCAGCAACAACTGCCCCTCTCGCCGCCTTCTGAACCGACGCCGTCGCTTACAGCCAAGTTGGTCCCGCTCGACTCGCCGGTTCGCACGACTCCCATCCACGAAGTTCTCTCGAGCATCCGTGTTCCCGGCCCACCTCTACAGCCACACCAGTATAACCCAGTCACCTGTGAGCCGATCCACATGGATGATGGGATGCGCGCGCAGCTCGAGCAACTACGCCAAGAGTTTCCTTCGCCCGAAGCGGCACTGAAAGAACAAGAGCAGGTCGCAAGGGAGATCAAACAGAAGATGGAAGAGGCGGAGAAGAAGCGCGAGGAGATCCAAAAAGCGATGGACAAGAAGATCAAGGAGCGAAACACGGAGATGAAGGTCCTCTCGAAATATCAGAAGGTCAAGGCTTCAGATATCCCGTCCTGAGAACAGAACCCGCAGGAACGGCATGCACAGACTCGCCTAAATATCGTCGTACAACATATCTGCCCGGCCGCTACCAAGCTTGCACCCCCAAGTGCAACCCGCGCCATGCAGGAAACAGCGCAGTTTACCCCAAATACCGCAATCATATGCATTGCGTGCATGATGGAAGCATTCTCCCACCCGACGGAGCCTGCTGGGGGTCTGGATTCATGACATATCGACGACTAGCGCTCATACGTCTCGTGGGCTGGACGGCTATTCGTTTCGACTCTAGCCACCAAGTCTTTCGACGCGAATATGAATTCTACTAAGACCGGCCGTCGGGTCCTGCAGTCCACGGAGTCTCCCATCTGCCTACGGGAAACAACGAAATGGATTGCTACGAGCTACAACAGGCTCGGAGGAAACGTCTGGTAGGAGTCTAAAGAAACGACTTGGTTTTGATGGAGACGCTCCTCAATCGTGGGCTAGTCACGAATTAACAATTAAGACATGTATCACAACCATATCAACGACACAGATCATCACGAACAAAGAAATACAATTCAGCGCATTGTTGGTTATCAGCAAGTAACTCCGCTGTCAGCGAAGTGAACAATTATCCCGAAATTTATGCTCACAAGGTACCCAGCACCTTGACTAGAGCAGGAAGCAACTATGAATTGTCAGTTTCTAGCTTTTAGTTTAAGTTCAATACGTAACAAAGGCCTTACCTCAGAAGCGTCCTCCATGAGTACCTGCGTTTCGTTGACAAACTTGGGCGTCAGCAGGTTATTAGCCTGACCAAGCAGGCCTCCGACTTCACCAAGCAACTCTGGAGAAAGGATTGGTGACACGTCGTCAATTAGATCGCGTGTCTCATTGACAAACTTGGGCGTCAACAAGTATGTGGCATTTCCGATGAGGAAGTGCACTTTTTCAAGCAGAGCAGGCGTGACGGCAGGTGACACGTTGTCGATCAAAGTCTGAGTCTCTTCAACAAACTTGCTGGTCAACAACTTATTGGCATTTCCGAGGAGACCGCCGACTAGGCCGAGCATATCAGGAGATAAGATCGGCGAGATTCCGTCGATCAAACCTTGGGTCTCATTCACAAACTTTGGCGTCAACAGGGCGTTGGCATTGTTGAGTAGGCCTCCTACTTCGGAGAGCAGCTGAGGTGTGAACACAGGGGAAATGTCCCCAATCAGCGTTCGGGTCTCCTTGACGAAGTCGGGCGTCAGCAAGTCATTCGCATGTCCCACCAAGCCTTGTGTCTCATCAACGAAGCCTGGGGTCAGCAAGGAGGTGGCGCTATTCAGAAGCTGGCCGACTTCTTTGAGGCGGGCAGGAGTGAAGACAGGTGCCACCGCGGCAATCAGACCCTGAGTCTCATTGACAAATGTCGGCGTCAGAAGTTCATTGGCGTTGCTCAGTAAGCCAGCAACCTTTGCGAGAACAGCGGGCGTCAACACAGGTGCAACTGAATGGATCAAGCTCTGGGCCTCGTGAACAAATTGTGTCGTCAACAATGTGTTAGCGTTACCCAGTACAGAGTTGACCTCCCGGAACAGCTCTGGTGTAAGAACAGGTCCGACCGTTTCAATCAATGATTGCGTTTCGTTCACAAATCTGGGCGTCAAGAGTCCATTGGCGTTGCTGAGCAAGGTGCCAACCTCCCCTATGAGTTCGGGGGACAGGATAGGGGCCACGGCCTTGATCAATGACTTCGCCTCCCTGACAAACTCGACCGTCAAAAGACCATTGGCGTTGTTGACTAAGTTTCCGACCTCCTTCAGTAGCTCGGGGGTCAATACAGGCGTAACAGCCTCGATCAGCTGCCGGGTTTCCTTCACAAAGTCGGCCGTCAGTAATTGATAGGCATTGCCAATCAGACCGTTGACCTCCTTGACAAACTCTGCGGTGAGAAGCTCATTGCCATTGTCGAGCAACACGGAGACCTTGTGGAACAGCTGAGGTGTAACCAGGGGGCCAACAGAAGCGATCAATTGCTGAGTCTCGTTGACGAAGTTCGGCGTCAGCAGATGGTTCGCATTGTTCAACAGAGTAAGCAGCTCGTTACTCAACTCTGGAGTCAACAAATTATAGGCAGTGTCGAGCAAGGACTTTGTCTGGTTTGTTGTCTTGTCGTCGAACAGGTATGCGAAGTGGTGAAAGAAGGACTCAATATCCGTGAGTAGCGAGGGGTTCAAGAGGCCAAAAAGGCCACTTAAAAGGTCAGGCTTCTTTGTTTCAGAGCTTTGAGGAGCTGTGGTGGTCTGAGACCCTGAATTCTGTAATGGGTTTGAGCCTGCTCCGTCCTTTGCGGTGGAATCAGAGTTGTGGCCTCCTCCGAGAAGGCCACCAACCAGACCAGATAAAAGATCTCCGTGAGCACTTTGTGTGGGAGTGGCTTCTGCCGCAGTGGACGGCTGCTGGGACACGCCATTGGCAGCTGCCTGCTGTTGGGCAGCACTCCCATATGATTGCTGGCCGACGGGGATTGCGTTATGTTGATTGGTATTGACACTCGCACTGGGTGGTTCTTCATTTTCTGTCGTACCCGTCGTCTCTACTGCCGGGATCGCCGCAGTCGCGGGTGGATTCGCTGCCCCTTGAGCGTCTGGCTGTGCAGCCAAGGCTGCTGGGGTTGGCTGAACCGAGGTTGCCAACGAGGTGCCAGACAGCACGACGGCCGAAAGAAGGGTCGATGAGAAGCGCATAACGAGGGGATGCGTTTATCAACAGAAGGTCAGCAATGAAGGAATGGAGGGGTCGGTTCCAACTGAATGCAGGTTGCCAGGGCTCCTTATATGGTTCAAGACGCCCGTCACCTCTCGCCTAAACCATCATCGAAATGGAGCTAGGGTCCCATCAAACCTTCAGTGAAATGAACAGGGCGGGATGGTGTGTTTCGTTCCATTGGGCTCCTACATCCCTTCTCGGTAGCATGGCCGTTGCAGTTATCTTCCCGTCCATGAACCAAGGGGATGGAGTTCGCTTCCGCAGCACGGCCGTGGTTTGACCAGGAGGGAACTATGCTCCTCGCAGTAAGTGCTCTCAAGGCTATTTTAGGGGTCCTCGCGGAGAAGTAAATCCGTTCGCTGTGTGGGTGGGTGGAGGAAAACAAGAGATCATCATTTCGTCTTCGGAAGCATTCTACTTTTTCCGCTTAGGTTCATTGCCCCGGTGATCGACAGGGACGTGCTTAGCATATGTGGGGACGAGAAGATGGCAGGGGCAAGAAATTGTCTCTGGACGCTACACTGGGATATGAGTGTTCACTCAAAGGTACTATATCCGAATGCACGGGCCATAGCAAGTTTGGCTGAATAGCGATGTCGCAGCGACATTTATGCATTGTCCGAGGCGATTTTCTCTTCAAATGAATAAGACGATAGGCATCTACAAGAGTTATTCTTGCTTCACAAGTAAATCTACCTTTTTCTTGCAAGTGACTGCAGTCTTTTTCTCTGAAAGCCGTGGCCATTGCTGCTGTAAACTGTGTCCAACACCCACACGAATGATTCATCCACTCAAACACAGCACCAAGCACTAAACCGTCAACAGAACCAACTCGGTAGCATGTGATCTCTCGGGCGAGGCGTGGTTGCAAAACGGACGGTTATTATTGCTTTCGGGACCACCAGAAAAGTCTGAATTTGAGGCACCGTTTCACGACAACATTTGACTTTGATGCTCCAGGGTGTCGCAAAGCGGGATTCGCACCGTGGTTCTTCGCTTCTCGGAAGGGAAATCTTAGCTCGGTTGGTACTGAGGGAGAATAAGCAATCCTGGAGCAATCATGACCTTTGTCATCACGCTGAAGAGCGAAGATCATGCTTGATATGTGGGCTTAATGAATAGACTGGGGTTCTGGGTGAAGTTGTTGTAGTTTTCCTGTGGCTGTTTAATCAAGAGATACAAGCGACTTGAACTAGGTATTCGGACAGGCGAACCCCAGTGGTCTGAACCGTTCAAACTCTATCTATAGAATTCGTTGAAATAACGAACAGCTTACTCTCTGAGCGAACAACGACCACTGGTCTTTCAAAAACATGCACTGAAGATCATGTACCCAACGCATTATTTTTCTGGGGAGGGGGGGAGAGTAACTTGCCTCAAAAATCAGACCCAAAATTATGGTTTGAATCGAACCAAGCGGGCCCCGAATATCTCCAAGAGCTTAACAAGCTGATACAAACCCCAACATTGAGCCCACAGCGCACAGGCCTGCAGCATCGCGCTTTCTTTCGTGTCTAGAGCTTGTGTGTTTTGTAAGGCTTGCTGTGCCTTTCTCTCTTTGCACATATAAGTCCCCATCCTCAAGCTATGGCCCATGCATGTTGCGTAACTTGCTATAGCCACTCCTGGCCATGCATAACCACGGCACATCATATCTATGCTGGTTGTTTTCGCTGGCTGCATCCGCTGAGTATGCTACCTTGTTCGGATTCGATTTCAACCCTTCATTAGCCATGATACCGGCCGCCGTGGCCTGGCGCGGATCACTCTTATTTCCCTCTCGCTGAAGGAACCGATCCAGCTGGAAGTTGCGAGGCTGCTGCCTTCATTGATCCACCATGCTTTTTTGGACTGTCATTGCTAGTAGTGATCGGATCGTCTTATCTGAATAGTGGTGCTCAGGAGGAATCGATCACAGTCGTTCCTGCTCGGGTGGTAGATTTGGACTCGTAAAAGGGAGGAGATAGTGGAGTTCAGTCGAAAGGGCGGGGTCGGGCGAGCTGTGAGTATAGCTGCGGTGGTTTCCTGTTAACCTGTGGATAGATAGTAAGTGTGAGTTGATAGGTACCTCAGATTGTAAATGAATAGGTTGATGCTAATTCAGTCGGAGGGCAACGCAGCTAGACAAGGCAGTAGAGATGTAGTGAGAGATCACAGATGCTCCAAGACCAGGTCAAACCAGTATTCTATTAGATAAGTCTCCACCAGGAATGGTTGGAGTCTGTGGTGTGTCGCAAAGTTGCTCAAGTTCTGGACGGACGTTGCTTCTGTCTGTTGAGGGGCGCTGGATTGGCTGAGGCAGAAACTGTCCGCCGCGACGCGGTGCAATTGGTTTCGTTCGCCTCTTTCGTGATGGTGAGTATATAAACTTTTGACAACTATCCTGAGATAACACTGACTCTTGGCTCAATCGGATCTGACAGTGAGACATTATCATAAACCACGCAAGACACACCGATGGAGCTGTGACCAACTGTATACAGCAGGACCCAATCAGGAACCGTGGGACTCATCGTCGCAGACCAGTCGAGACCTATTCCCCAGAATCACCCTGCTAAAGCAAAGACACGACTAAGTCTGGGCGTAGCTCAAGACCACTACGGAATCTCGATGTACAACATACCGATGAGCTCGAGCAAAGTGTGCCACAGCCAGAGTATCAATTTTGACCCTGCTCGACGAGGAAACTACTCGCACATGCCATAATTCTTCCTCAACTTTCAATTTTTCACAGCTCGTCGTTCCTTGTAACACTTAGGTGCTGACATCGGGTTTATTCGCCGAAAAAAACGGTTCGATCACAGGCGGTACCAGTCCTTCTGTGTAGCATCTTTCAGGTTGGATGAAGGATGTTAACTAACCACCGTGATCGTGATTTGTCGAGTTCGGACTAGTTGTCCTAAATGGAAAAAATACCATTTGCTCACTTCGGCAAGACAAGATCACAGCACGACCTCCGATCCTATGTGTCTCGACTCGAAGTCTGAGCAGATCCTGTCTCAGTGAAGAATATGCAGCGAACCATGTTTGGTAGTGGTGCCAGAGATCCGGGAGTACGAGGACGGGTTCTGGCCAGCGTCGAGGTCTGAAAGTGTCACCAGCTTTTGATGTCATATCCAACCCCAGACTGGAATCCCACTGACCTCATCCCAACAGGACTGAATCCAGGCCAGTCGATCTACGCGCTCAAAGGGGCTAGCCGAACACATGACCAAAATCATATGCAGTGTCAGCAGCGCCCAGTGGGTCTCGCACACCCTCTTGTTCAGATGAGGAAGAGAAAAAGACCTCAGGCTCCCGGCAACCTGCATACTCACCTCCCGTGCGGCCTACGGAGTACGGAGGACTAGTTCCGTCTTCCCCTCATGGTTATCGGTTGAAACACGGAACAGGGATGAGCCTCGGTGAGGCAGCCTGTATTGGACGGTTGCAGGGCTGGCCAGGGACTAAAGTCTGACTGGGTTTAGGCAAGGCGAGGGCGTCGGCGCTTATGTACGGGGTTGCATCTCAAAGTGCCATGTTATTGGGCTATCCCAGACTCTTCCCGGTCTGCTTGCCTGTCTGTCACAGAGACTCGAACTTACATACTCATACTACTCAGGATGTCCTAGGGCAGGATGACCGCAATGACCTCTTGTCTGCTCTAGTTAGTTCTTCGTTGCTCGGGCTTCGCATGTTGTGTTTCAAGAGCTCATGCGCAACGTCGGAGCACTCGCAGCGAAACTTTGGTCGATCAGCGCCAGTCGCTGCACCTAACCTGGTATTGGAAGGGATTTTTTTAAGCGCTAGATTGTAGTCACCTGAGGGGCAAGATTTTTCCTTGTCTGAGAAGCTGCCCGCATCTACTCACTTTCTCTCTCTTTTGCTTTCTACAAGGTTAGGGTTGAGAGTTTCCAAGGTTGCCTGTGGTTATGGTGAACAGGGTTTTTACCCGCTATTGTGATAACAATAGCTGCCTGCAGTCCGACCGAATTCATTCTGGTCATCCAAGCCAGTCATTCATGATTCTTTGCTTGCTGCTTGCTGCTTGCTGTTTGCTGTCAGCTCAAAGTCTCCGGCCAAGAATGATGTCACCCGCGCCTGCAGAAACCTCGCCACACAATAGTGGCTTAGCGAGGCGCAGCACTCGGCCATCGCCGACGCCGATGGGAGGGAAGGACAACCTCCTCTCCTCCCATAGGTAGCTTTATTCTCCGCTGTCCTCCTCTACCTCTCGCCTCGGGACACAGTGTACATGCGTTACGCTTTGCTTTTCTTTTTTTATCTCGAAGGTACTAATCCACAATCTTGCCCCAGTGGAGCGTCCCATGTCTTGTCAGCTTGTCTTTCGATTCTTCAGCTCAGTCGGACTCTGTATAAGACAGTAGGGTCCACGATATGTCATTGTGCAGCGCTGGAAACGGTCATTCAGGCGCTCGACATCCAATCTGATGGGTCTTTGGGCCTCTAGCGCGAAGCTGACGACGCGCTGACTGCTTCTGATGCTGCGGTTCTTGCTCGTCTGTCGTCGGGAGCCGACTCCAGCCGATCAAGCGATGCGCTCTGGCACCGGGCCATGAACCGCTGTTCACGTTATACGGTATCATTCATGCTGCTCATCCAATCCTCTCATCCGCATTTGCGTCTGTCGTTAAACCCACTTCCGAGCGCGTACTGAGATTTCCAGACGCAATCATTACCAAACTCGGTCACTGCCGCAATGCGTGACAGACAGTCCAATCCGGGTTGATGCCGCGCGGGACAGACGAACAAACGAGGAGCCCATCACAGGACCACCCGTCCTGTCAGTCAGTCTCGGTATCGCCGGACACCTAGCACTTTCAGTCCGTCTGCTCTTTCCCCTATGTGCACCGAAGTTCGCCCCCCGGTCACAGCATCGGAGTCTATTGCCTGGGAAGGGCAATATCTCCAGCAGACCCTGTGGTTTCGCCTCGGGAAACCATACGAGGCACAGGAGTATCAGTCAGCCTGTCGCAGTCGCGTGTAGGCGTATGCGGGCGTGCACACTAAGCATACCAGGTTCTGAGCGATACGGTCATCCCAAGGCAATGTGAGAGCATGCATGCATGCAGATCGGGATAGAGGACTTGCCCTTCCGTTCCTTTCCCCCCTATTGCCCATTCCCCTCCCTTCATTACAAGACTGGTAATGATCGAGTAACGAGTCTCGTTACAAGTGCATTCTCAGTCCGACTGCCCTTCCTATTCCAGAAAGTCTGGAGATGACCGGTCATCGAGGCCAGTCCAATGAGAGTCCGTAGCGGGGATCTCAGCTGCGGCGAGCGAGCCGGCCGCTGTGGCCCGTCAACGAATCCGCGGTCAGAAGAGGCATTTCTCACCTACCTGCCCAGGGCTTTTTAGATCGCCCCACGACGCCTCTTCAGGTAAATTTCCTGGCCGTCAGTATCCCTTCAGCTGAGCGCATGTGCTCTTTCTGATACTCACTCCGGCGATGCGGTCTGAGAGTAAAATCTAAGGGTTGGTTCAACAACGAGGGTTTGAGCACTATCGTATGGATAGGAACGACTTGTATTCTGGTGGAAAATTCCCTCTTGGTAGACACTATTCATTTGTCGATAAAGCCACCGGCAGATGCTGAATACAAACGCGCAATAATGCGGGTATCGGCGGCTATGAGTAGAAGCGCACTGAAAAGTGTATCGTCCACGAGTCGAAGACAGGTCGCTTTATTCTTGTTTTCTGCTGCCTTGCAATAACGTTACTCCGAAGTATTCCTGATATGTTAGGCTCATATTCTGTGTGGTACAATCTGTGGTCCAGCACAACTACCGACAACACATTCTAGAAACCAGCCCAGAAACGGCATTACTCGAAAACTCCAGGATCCAGCACTAATCACGCAGGTCCATGAAGTACAGCATAATGAGCAAACAAGCAGGGGTGTGATTCACATCGCAAGTGGTTTAAACAACAATAGCTCATTTCCCCCTTCCAAGCCAAATATCTGTATAACTTCACGCACAGGATTTCCTGCATGCCAGGAATCATTCGCCCACCCCTGTTCATCTTGCAGAAAAGGAGCCCGTCCCATCGTACACCATGCCCCAGTTGCAATACTACGCCGACTGTCTACGAACCTGGAGGTGCCCCCCTTAGTGATTGCTCCCCTCAGCCTCCTGTGTCGAATTTCCCATTTTTATGTGTAGGTAGTACTACGGTAGGGGTAAATCTGTGACTAGTAAGGTATCTATCTCATCGGGACTCGAGTCGGGTACCACTGGACCGTGCGTTTTGTGGACCGGGACCCTCCCTTCGACCCTCTATTGTATGGCGATGTTTCCCAGCCTTCTTTTTTCTCTGTGGTTGCAGATATTTTCTATGCTGCACCTTTGTAAAGCAGGTATAAAAAATTCCCCTCCTACTATTGGTTCATCAAGAACAATTGCTTTAAATCTTTGTGCCCGGCTTACCTCGAATACTGTGATGGCTTTTTGTTCAGTTTGTCATGGCCATAGGTACCGAGCATGTAGTATAGATCAAGTTTCTATACGCGTCCAAAATCATAAGGGTGTACGTACACAGACGATCGGAATGTAGTGAGCGTGTGCTGGGGTGAGTCATATGCAAGAGTGGATTCCCACATCTCCGGTCTTCCCTCTACCCACATGGGCGTTTGGCATGGTAAGAGTAGATATCGGCGTACATGTACGGATGCGCGATGATGTACTGTATGTACATGCGCCCACAGGTCTGGGTTTGTATGCGGCTGCGTATACTTGTCCCATGTAGGGCTCTCGCGCAGGATGAAAAACTGGTCTCCGTGTTTGATGTGCGGAGTAGCTTACATCGATGTCGACTCCAAATCGTTATTTCTAATCGTTTAAAATACACCCAGCATCTAGGACTATGAATCTGTAGAGTATAGATGTGAAGTCCACTTGGATCTGGATCCCAGGGCTGACTTGCCACATGTGAGTTGCTTCGAAAAGGGTCCCACCGGTCCAAGGACGCGAAGTGGGTGGCGGTATCGCGTGCCGGACGGGCTTTTCCTTCCCATGTCTTGCTCATACTGAGAATTTAGACTCAGTTTGATTCGGGGCTTGCAATCGGATGATTTTCACCCGTGCTTGAATACTCTCGCAATGCGAGTGGGCTTGTCTTGACTCAAGTCTATAGAGGACGGGATTCATGATTTTGAGCACAAGGCAGAATAGAGTTGAGTACTTTTGGATGTCGCGTGCGTTGATTAGTCATTGCATCATTAAATGATGCGATGGATAATCTCTGCCAGTGTAGAATAATCCGACTTTGAGGTTTGATCGCGCAACAGCTGAAGGTTAGTACTCGTAGGTAGATGTATCGATATAACGTAGTTGATGTAGCCGTTGACTCAGTGTTTGAAACGCCGGGAACTCGAACAGTCGGATATGGATCGTATTCGCTCCCACTGTTCAAACGTCAACGTATCTAAAAGGAGTATTATGCATGAATGTCTTGGTCATGAGGGAAAAAAGACTGTACTGCCACTCTCAGCCATCGCAGTTAGCATGGCAAGTGGAGCGTTTGCTTCATCGCGGAGGAAGAAGAGGGAAGAGGCCGAGTGAGAGAGAAGAGGGAGGGGCTTAGCTTAGCCCCAGCCAGCCCTGATTCCAACCTGCAAGCCCATCCTGCAACACGCCTCTTTTTCTATCTGTCTACAACATTTGTATACGAATTCTATCTGAGATATAGAGTCAAGCAACCGCTTTATTGAGGGACAAAAGAAAGAATGGAAAAGTACTTCGGAGCACAACTCTTGCTGGGTTACTTCCCTTTTCCGGTGTCACCATCACTGACCGGACAATGCACACGCACGCACACGCCTGGCAGATGGGCCCTCCCGGGTCAGACAGGAATTGAGAATGAATGAATGGAACGCTTGTTGGGGTTGATCCATGGTTCAGCTTCTGTCTCTTGTCCGTCCGCCCGGCCGTCCGGCCGTCCTGGGCAGAAACTCAAGTTTCTGTCTGTCTGTCCTGTCCTGTCTGCCCTTTTGTGTGACCTGCCTACCTAGGGCAGTTGACTGGCTTCTTATCCCACTGTGGCATTTGTCGATGCATGGTGATTCATTTGAAAGGAGAATGTGGAAGAGTTTTCCAAGGCAAAGTTGCCTTTATCCCCTCCCACCATCAGAATCCCACGATGGACAGGGCCCTTCTCAGGGAGTTTGGGGAGTGCGACAGAAAAACGAGGATATAGAAAAGGTTAAATCATCGATCATTTCGCATCCGACCGGAGAGCACTTCCATTCTCCATCCATGATATCAGCAGGCATCGACCCCACCGATGTACGGTAGGCAAGAAACAGCTTAGATAGACTACGGGGGCGCCTTTTGGCCCAAACTTTCTTTGTTCGCGGACGTCCGCGACCCTTAAAAGGTAAAAGGTATTATGTGGAAATTGGATCTTGAGTCAGTTCACGGCATAATTGAAGTCACATCTGCTGTAGTAAGCTTGTGTAGTTAGTTACTAGCAATGATCCTTTACTAGAATACGGAGCACTATGTTATGTGTACAATGCTAAGTAGTAATGTAGTGTGGATGTACGGATAGAGAGTCACCCAGCAAGCCGAAATAGTAATACATGAGTAAGTAATTAATCATGGGGGATCACCTGGTCTAAACTAGCCCCGTGCCTCTTCTTGCTCTTTCTTCCAAGTTGACTTTGCCTTCCAGGGTCGTGGATTGACCAACTAATAATTCCCTACTACTTGACTGACTCTGCTTTTTCGGGCTTTTCGTCCCCTTCTGTTTCCTGTCTTTTCCTGGTTGATGCTCCACTGCCGATGACGATTCTGGACACTTGCATATCTGGCGAAGATTTGTTGCTCAAAGGCACGGAGAAGCATGAGCAAGAAAAAAGTGATTGAAAGCGCACCTGGCAAAGCGGGCGATGGCTCCAACCATCAAAAATGATAGAAATAATTATTTCAAGAATTTATTCATTATTTTTGCCGTCCAGGTCAAGGAAAAAATTGCAGATGTGAAAATCACAAAAGAAAAATCACTCGTACCATACGATCGGATTTCGCGTCGACTGCATGGGAAAAGTCGCCGGCCGGACTGCGCCATTGCAGACAGCGCGAATCTGCGAGTTGCCCCCCTCTTCTCTTCTCTCCTCTGCTCTCCTCGTCTAGTAACTAAGTTATGCACGGGCTATCGCTTGTGCGTATCGTCCGGTAACTTAACTACTATCAAAGTTGGTTGGCGAGAGCTGAAGGCATTCGAGACAGTATGCAACAGTCAGCTAGCACCTGTCTCGTTTGGCTTGTTTAACGTTCTCAAGTCAATGAGCCTTTTTTGGCTCTCTACGAATCCAGACGCTACCTTTTAGAATTTGAGTGTTTGTGGACATTGCTGTTTCGGAGCGGACTCTTGTCTTTTGTGGGTGGCTTGTTGGACGGCTGTATAGAATCCCGTGCATTGATACATATACTCACCCATACTAAAGCCCCGTTCCCGGTGGACCATACTGTATCTGTACCGTCAAGTCAGCTCAACTCTCCTCTCCATTGTTGTTGTTGCTGCTGCTATTGCTGCATACACTGACTGAACTGCAGGCAGCCTCCATCTGTCTGTTTTGCCCCCCTCCTCCTCCTCCTCTTCCTCCTCTTTCTCCTTCTCCATTTGCATTATTCCCTCTCTTCCTCCTCTTTTTCTCCTTCCTCCTCCTCTTCTTCTCCTCTCCTCCCTCTTTTCACGGGCCTGCAATCCTTTTACAGTCCTTGCCATTCCTTTGTTTTCTTTTCGCGCGTTCGCCCACACAGTTAGTAGTTTTGCCTTACACATTCCCACGATTGCCTATTATTACTACTACCACTACCAATACCACCACTACCACCACCACTACCTACTCCTACTACTCCTACAACACCCGCTGCTACACTCCACTTGCCTTTGGTTGATGGTGGGGATTTTTAATCTATACCCTAACTGTTCAACTCACCTTCTGATCCCACCGTCTCCATCGTCTACCAGATAGGCAGCGGTTTTTACCCCGCCACACCTACTTCGATTATTTTGCTTTTTTCCCCTTTTCCTTTTCATTATTTACATACCCATCCGTGCCTGTTATCGGGGCTGGGTCGTCCTCGTGACTTCGAGCTCTGCCTCTTTTTTTTTTCTGTCTGCCCTCAACAGACGGATTGGATTGTATCAGGAAAACTCCCTCGGTGTGGGCGAATGTCGCCTCTATGGTCTTTTTCGATCCTATCTTCTCTCTCTCTTTACTGATTCGCCCTTCTCTTCTTCGTTCTTTGCTTTTTGTCAAATACAGTACCATCTTTCGTCGCTCTCCCGCAGTCTGAGAAATGCCCACCGTCTTACTGCCCTCGTCGGCAGCCGCATTTGCCCCGCGGTCGTCGCCAAACGTGGTGCTCAACACCCGCATCGAGCCGTGGCTCACGGCCACTTTGAAACGGGTCAACCGAGTCAAACGCCCGCTGAACAATGTCACACAGCATACTAGATGTCTGACCGAGACGCTGTCCTCGCCTAACGCCATCTGGACGCTGTGTTCGATGATGTTCCCCAAGGCTCCCGACGCCGAACTTCGCAAGGATGACAACCCTCTGATGGAGGCCGTCTGCAACTATCAGATGATCCACATCGAAGCCTACGTCGTCCATGTGGATATGGTGTCGCAGAATGAAGTCGCCTTCAAGCTAACCCCGGAAACTATCGAGGCGCTGGTCGATTACCACAAGGATGTCTACTCCGTCGATGCCGCTGCGAAAACCTGGGACTGGTCCGACAAGGATACCCAACTGAAGAAGCTACAGGAGGAGTTTGTCCAAGCCGCCAATAAGTTTGTCTATCGCACAAGCGTCCTTGCCCTTGAAGGGCTCGAGGAAGATGGGGCGGGTGAACTTCTGGCCGGCCGCAGTGAGGAAGCCAAAGTGGCCATCTCCAACTTGTTCGTCCCCCTGCAGCCACCGCCCCCGCGGGTTGTCGATGTGCTCCGTTCGGTGCCTTACCTGCCCAGCTCAACGGGTCCCGGACCCTGGTGGCAGGATTCGATGCATCAGCCCCTTCCGATGGACCCCTGGAAGATCCTGCCGTCCAGCCCAGCCACGACCACGACTGGGGATGTGAATCCAGGTCTCTGGGCTCACATGAGCGGCATGGAGGATGCGCAGCTAACCTCCCCACCGGCGTCAACCTTCAGTCCACCGTATACGACGGCGCCGCCGTACAGCGCGGCGCAGTACTACGGTGTGGCGGCGACCTCGGCGGCTCTTGCAGCTCTCCCACTGCCGAGCATGCTCTGCAGCACGGCAGCCAACATGTCAGGGTTTGGGTGGGGGGATCGATACCAGGATTTCTCATCGCTTTCGCTTCCCTACGGGACAATAATGTAAACGCGTCCATGGAACCAGACACTTGATGTTAACGGTCTCCCTGACTTGGCGTGTCTTTTGGAAACAGATCCCAGGGTTCGAACCGACATCACGAATACTACAGCTCGCCTATGCCGCCCGGCCCGATCCCTCCTGCACCAGTCCATGACCGACCGGGGCCAAACCTTCCCCACGACAGATATCCGACTAATTGGCATCAATGACGGCGTTCTCCTTGATTGACTTTGCGACATACATGATACTCCATATCTTCTATATTTTGCATGACTGCTGAGATCACCTCTCTTCGTTTACGGTTTTTTGTGTTTTATTTTCGTTTCTATTGATTCAAACAGCGCTAGCGTGATTACTTTTGTTCTACAGCATCAAGAAGCGGCGGGTCGGCTACAATTGTGATTGCTTTTCACTATACGTCATGAAGACCTGGTTAGCCTCACGGCACGGGATATGATTTGGATGAGGAAATGTTCACCTTCGTTTTCGTTTCATTGCCGCGATTGGTCCGGGTGGTTGAGGCAGACAATGCTGTGCATTGCCTCTGTACTTGGCTACCAGGCAGCATCTCTGCGGTCAGTTAGTCTGGGGATACAGGTATCCAACGGGACTAGCTAGCTGGGATGCGCAGCGGCGCTGCTGATCAGCAGAAAGCATCTGTGATGCATCTATGACGGCAGATTCTTATGACCAAGACGAGGCTCTGAGTTTGTGCTGACTCGCGTCAGGACTGTTGTTGATCACGTCCGATTAGGTTTGGTTGGGGGGGGGGGACTGCCTGTGGCAGAGCCACACACACCACCAGTTGAGCCAACGCACTTTGAGTGGGGGTCTGTGACCTCTCTGCGTTGCCCCTGATCTGCGAGTGATACAATGGCCTTGAAGGCGACTTTGCTCTTCCTCCGGGCCTCGTGTTGTTCTGGTAGGCTCATCTCCTACCATCCAGGCTGGGTTTTATCTCTTTTGTTTATTTTCGGGATTACCTGGATGCGCCTATCCGTTTGACCAACCCTCCCTGGAGGAGGCGTGGGAAGAGCGGGCGGGAATCGGATGCTGGCAGGGCTGCGCCCACGTCGTTGTGCGTTGTTCTTTTCTTCGCCTTCTTATTCTTGTTCTTTCTGCTGTTCCGTATGTGATTGGCAAGATGTACCTAAGTCTGATATAATGCAAAAATGCAAAAATGAAGTTGAAAGATATTCCATGGGGAAAGGTTATGCGTAATCTCAACGTACGTATTTGTTCCGCCGTGCGGGATCTCCGCTGGCGCTAAACAAAAGAGTCCGGGCCTCGGGATGACGTCAGGGTCAAGGCCAGCCCAGCCCAGCCCAGCAGGGCGGAACAACCACTAACTACGGACAACCACCTTCATCATCATCGCGGGGCGGGCTGGCTACGTTTCATCGTCATCATCATTATCATCATCAAAGAATCTGTTTCCCTATGAACGACGGTTCGTGCATGAAGTAATTTCCCCGCAATTTTCCCTTCCTGCTTTCCACCCTCTGGCTAGAACTCTTCTCTCCTCGCTCGCTGCAATCTATACTATCTTCCACCTCCAGTTGCCTAACAGTTAATCATCATTCGCTTTGTCACAAGACTTACATCCAAGTGGTACTATCCCAACTCAATATATGGCATATACACTGTTATCATCACACTCATAAGGCAGGTTCAGAACAAAGGCAGCAAGAGGACAACATGGCCGACCTGCAAGAGGCCCTCAACTGCCTCTCGCCGACCACCTGGGACTCGATCCCCAGCAACGACCCGGACGCTCTGCGCGCCTACCTCAACGACCTCGCCACGAAAGCGCGATTGATCATCGAGTCCGTTCCCGAGCCGCCGGTCGATAAAGAAGAGAGTCCATCTTCCACATCTCACACGAACAACAACACCAGCCACTTACCCCCCGCCGCAGCCATCCTCCACCCCTCCAACGCACGCGCCTCCCACCTCCTCACCTCCCCGACGTCTACTACCACAACCACTCCCCCATCGTCATCATCATCATCGTCAGACCCCCAACCACCACCACCATCAATACTACCACCCCCGCCCCCTTCCATCCCGAACAACCCCCACCACAAGGAATGGAGCAAGCCCATCAAGATCTCCTCCGCCAAGGAGAACCCCCTCCACATCCCGATCTACAAGCTCCCCGGCGCGGACGGCAAGGGCCACTGGTTCGGCCGCCGCAGCGTGTTCGCCGGGCTGCCCTTCACGAAGTGGCACACCAAACTGTCCGGCGAGATGGGCCACACGCTGCGCATGAACCAGCATCAGATCCAGAAAGGGCGGCCGCCGGACCAGGCCGTGCGCGGCATCGGGGCCGAGCGGCTGGTGGAGGATATCGAGGTCAAGAGTGAGGATGGCGCTAGGGTTGTGGGCCGCGTCCAGGTGTACCATGTCTCGGCCATGTTTCCGAAGCCGACGGCGGCGCGGGATTTTGTCAGTTTGATTGTGAGTTGGGAGGTTGTGACGGAGGGGTTTGCGGCAGGGGAGCAGAAGGAGGGGGAGGCCGGTAGCAAGGGGAAAGAGGCGAGGAGGTGGATGATGGTTTCAAGGCCGTGCGAACATCCTGATGTGCCGCCGACGCAGAATTACATTCGGGGGCAGTATGAGAGTGTCGAGTTTATTCGGGAGATTCCGGTGTACGATGAGGAGGAGGGGGAGGGTACTGGTGGTGGGGCAGGGAAGGAAGTGGATGGGCAAGAGGTGCAGGAAGTGCAGAAGAAACTGAATCCCGTGGAGTGGGTGATGGTCACGAGAAGTGATCCCGGAGGCAATATCCCTCGATGGATGGTGGAAAAGGGCACCCCCAAGAGTATCTGTCAGGATGCTATCAAGTTCTTGAACTGGGCGTGTCGGGATGAAGGCCATAAAAAGCACGCGCATCGCAAGTCGGGGGCTACAGATCATCAGCATCATAACCCTGGCGCTGAGGCGTCGGCGGAAGACGACGAGGATAGCGTGTCTGAGGATTCCAGTGACTCGGACTACTATTCGGACACGGAAGTTGAGCATCACGGCCTCATTGCCAGTTTCGCATACCTGGTCAATGCGGGTCTGGAACGGTATGCTCCGCAGGCCGTCCTCGACTATCTCCCCCACGGTCATTCGCGACAGTCGTCGACAGTCAGCACTGCCCAGGAAACTGGCTATCCGACAGACGACAAGGAAGATCCGCAAACTGAGCCATCACCCACAACAACAACTACTACTACTGCCAAAGCCACCGAGCCGGAGTTCAACGACGCAGCCTCGCAAGGAAAAGCCTCTGTCGCCTTCTCCGCCAATTCGGCCTTCGACTCCGCCGTCGAGGCCCCTCCGGATGTCTCCGCCATCGAACAGATGACCCTCAACAAGAAGGGGAAACTCTCATCCCACGAGAAGCAACTGGCCAAGCTGGCGGAGCGCAAACGCAACGTTGAGGCGCAGCTGGACCGTGTTCGCTCGGAGATCCAGGCCCTGCATGTCGAAACGACTCCAGCTTCCCCCCCACAAACAGCCACGGCTGAAGGCGGCAGCAGCAACAAGCGAGACAAGGCATCTGCAGCGGCGCTGGCCGCGGCCGGTGACGTAGGTAGCGAACAACTCAGCAGCAGTCCGGGCAGCAGCGTGCACCGGGGGGTGGCGTCCAGCGGTGGCAACAATCACCACCAGCACCACCACCACAACCGTCATGAGGCCGCGCGTGCGCACAAGGTGGCGTCCGGGCTGTTCAATGAGGAGTCGAAGCTGCTGAAACAGCTGGGCAAGATCGAAAAGGACCAGTTGAAAGAGGCGTCGAAGATCGAGGCGCGGCAGCAGAAGCACGCCGAGAAGCAGGAGAAGTCGCGCGCCCGCGGCGAGGCGGATGCGCTCCGGCGAGAGGTCGAGCTGCTGAAGAAGGAGGTCGATCGGCTGCGGTCGGAGCGCAAGCAGTGGTTGGATCTGATCGGGTCGCTGCAGGCGGAGAATACGAGGCTGGCGGCGCAGCAGGATCCAGGCGCTGCCAATGCTGCTGCTGCTGGGGCTTCGGCAACGAAGTTGAATGAGGAGAAGAAGTAATCGCAGTGGTAGATGAATCGTAGAGATGAATGCAGTGGCTGGTTTAGATGGGCTTGGTTACTACCTAGGTCGGCCTTGTACATTATGTTGGGTTTTGATGAGTGAGATACATTCCGGAGTACAGTGCAAGCACGTGGGATCTGAATGATTGTGTTATGATGTGATGATTACTGTAAATCTTTATCGAGTATTGAGAAAATCTCGCTGCATGAGCAGAAAGGCATACGCCCCCAAAACGCCGTATCCATAAACTCCTTGCCTCTCATCGATGACCTGATGTCGTTTCTTGTCTTGTTCCTCAGGTATACACCCAGAGTTCTCCGAATAACCAGACCACAGATCTAGTCTGTGTCATCCAGCATTCGTCCATCATCCAAAGCCTCTGTTCTAGACACTGGACCAACCGGGCAAACCATTCACCCCCCGATCAGCACCCCGACCCCGACCCCTTCCAACTCCCAACTGGACCACTCAACCCATCCATCCTCATTCCTGTGTCTAAACCCGATAAATCAGCACACCACATCCACTGCAGACCCAATCCATGCCCAATCCACAGGCATGCCCACTCCATCCCCCATAAGGGAAGTGCAAAACTCACCTCCGGCGGATTCCCCGCCCCGCGCACCATCTTCTCGATCATCGTCGCCCGCACCTTCTCCTTGGACTCGCCCATCCCCACGGCCATGTACGACAGCATGGGCGGGTGACCGATGTACGAGGCGTAGCTGTCGCGCACGATGTTGGACAGCCACTCGTACTTGGTCGTGTCGGCGTGGCCCGTGCCGATGTAGCGGGCCTGCATCGCCTCGAGGTTCTGGAGGGTGCGGAGTTTGTCGGCCATTGTTGCTTTTGGTCAAGGGTTTGGGTTTGGGTTGGGGGTTGTCAATGGTAATTTGGGTTTGTTGAGGGGGGGTGGGATGGTGGGCTTGCTTCTGTTTCTGGTTGATTGTTGAAGGTTGGTTGATGTTTCGCCGCGGAGCTTTTGGGGTGTGCTGGGTTGGGTTTGAAAATGCGGCAAAGGCATGGGTGGATGCAGGATGCCACGTGATGTGGGGATGGCATTTATCGATAGCGGATGACTTATCGGGGAAATTGTAGATTTTACTTCTCCTCACTACGTACTGGTTCTATAGTCCAGTCGGGGGTTTGGGTTTTTGGTTTCATTTTTAGGAATTCCGGTTTTGATTTTTCTTTTCTTCAATATATGCCATGGGAGAAGAGAATCCGCAAGATGGACTCTCATCTCGCATCGCGCGCCTAGTGCATGCGCATTTCGATGCGCTGCCCGCCCGCAGTAAACCGATTGTTCGCGATGATGGCACCAGAGAGTGGATTCCGATGGCGGGAATGGTCGTTGTGAGGGGTATGTTTTCGATGCCTTTTTCCCTTGCATATCAACAACTTGGAAATGTGATAGTGCTAACAGCAATATCAGGCGAGAATACGACGGAGGAAGAATTGACTTGTGTTGCTGTTACGTGTGTTTTTCCCTTCTCTCTTATCTACTCCAGTACTGTACTGTACATCTGCAGAAACACTTATACTGATGACAACAGATCAGGCGCCAAATGTCTCGCTGCCTCCCAGCTTCCAAACTGCAAGGGTCTCGTTCTCCATGACTGGCACGCCGAGGTGCTCGCCCTCCGGGCTTTCAACTACTGGGTCTTGTCGGAGGTGAGGGGGTTGCTGTTGGGTGAGGACGTTGCTGCTACCACCCAAAGCTCATCGCCATCGTCATCGCCATCGCCATCCCGGTTCATTCGTCGTCGATCCCCCCAGCAGCAACAGCAACAGCACCCCGATCAACCCCCCTTCGAGCTCCAGCCAGACCTCAAAGTCTACATGTGCTGCACCTGCGCGCCCTGCGGCGATGCAAGCATGGAGCTCACCATGGCGGCGCAGGAGGATCCCACGCCATGGGTGGAGGATCCCTCTCCATCCGAACCAGTATCATTATCAAATCCCCCAGCTCCAGAGGAACCCCACCCTACACACCCAACAACATCAAAACCACCGACCGCTGCCCTATCGTCGACATCCAACCCTCACACATCTACTACAGTTGCAAAAACACCACCAACAACAGACCCCCCCTCATCAGCACCGACCAAACCACCCCCTGCAAACCTCCTCGACGGCCGCGGCCACTTCTCGAAACTCGGCATCGTCCGCCGCAAACCCGCCCGCGCCGACGCCGACTCCACCAAAAGCAAATCCTGCTCCGACAAGCTCGCCCTCCGCCAGGTCTCGTCCTTGCTGTCCCCGGAGACGGCGCTGTTGGTCCGCGTGACGGCCAGTGCGTATCTGGCTGGGGTGGTGTTGCCCGAGACGGAGATCAGTGGAGTCGGGTGTGAGAGGGCGTTTGGGAAGGAGGGGAGGATGAAGGGGCTGGTCGGGGGATATCTTGCGCCTTCTTTGTCTTCTTCATCTGGATGTCAGGAAGTAGGGGAAGAAGAGCAGCGGGGGCTGGAGACACAAGAAGACGGGAAGGAGGAGGAGGAGGGGGATGCTTCCGGCTACCGATTCCACCCCTTCGAGATCCTCCCCATCCCCGCTGCGCTGGCCGACTCCCTATGGCAGTACGGCAAGCCCCGGGACTCGCCGCAGACCGCTTCCACAAGCACCACAAAATACAAGCCCGGGACCATCTCGGCGGTGTGGGTGGCCGCGCCCTCCGTTGGGGCCGATCGGCTGGTCGTGCTGGGGCCCGCGAGCGGGGCCAAGCAGCTGCCCAAGCTGGCGGGTAGTCGGACGGGGCTGTATGAGAGCATCATCGGCGGGGTGAAGCAGGGGAGTAAGGCGTCGGCGCCGGTGGTGCGGGGAGCGTCGGCGCTGTCGCGCGCGCGGATGTGGGGGACCTTCCGGGAGGTTGTTCTGGATCTCCAGAGGAACCCGGCCCGGCAGGATGGCCGTGTGAAGCACGAGGATGGGCTGTCTCGGCTTGACGATGAGAGGTTACGGCAGATCGTCGACGCAGCTACGTATGTCGACTTCAAGAGAGCGATCGTCACCTCCACGAGACCCGGTCAGGCGCGGGCACGGGCTCTACGAGAAGCGAAAACCGTCCTTGTTCCGTGGGTGCCGAATGCTGGGGATGGAGATTGGGGGTTGGAGGTGTTGGTGGACGCGAATCCGAAGAAGCGCAAACGGTGAATTAATTATATATGGAGTAAGTTTTTTCTATTACAAAAGTCCATAAAAGTGTACAGGCCACGGAAAGGAGACCCCCAATTCAAAGCAGCAAAAGAAGCTTTTTCATTTTACACTCGCACGCCACCTCACGAATCCTTGACCTCTCTTCGGATCAATAGATCCCCGGGACGATGCGACTGCGCACCAAGGAAGTGTATCGGTCCCAATCCGCACCGTACTTCTTCTTGCACTTCTCCTCGTCGCGACGCTCGCGGTGGATTAACAGGACGCCAAAGTAGAGCATGAAGAAGTAGGTGAACACCATGCCCCAGCCGCGGACCTCGGGGGTCTGCACCACCTGCTTCTGCAGGTCGCCCGTGGCCGGGTTGACGCCCTGAATGACCACATACCCTGCGATACCGGTAGGGAGACAATACGACCACGACATGAGCCAGTCACCGAGGTAGTTGATGTGACGGGCGCAGCCCCACCAGCCGGAAGTGAGTAGCTTCGAGCCGCTGGCAGTCTGAATGAACTTGAGGTGCTTAACGCGGGGGTCGTTCGGGTCGGTGCGGAACCGGTTCTTCTGGTTGTTGGCGCCCCGGAAGATCGAGTAGCCCGCCGCGGTGACGGCCAGCACCGCCACGATACCCTTGAGTCCCAGCTCCAGCGGGAAGACCGCCAGATACCGGGTCTGGAAGTTGTAGATGAACGGGACCCAGACCATATCGCCGAACGAGAGCATGAAACCGAAGCCGTCCATGATGATGTCCATCGTGGTCAAGAGCGCGGGTTCCATGTACAGGCCGTCCAGCACGTAGAATGCCTGGAAGAAGGTGGACAGGATGATCGAGTCGGTGACGTAGCCGTAGGTGCGGTGCTGGCGCGCGATGTTCGACAGGTTCAGGATGATCCAACCCAGGAGACCCGGACGCATCTCACACCAGGACTTGATGTCAATGGTACGGGAGGCCTCGCTGACGAAGGGGATGGGCAGCCGCACGCGAGGGTTAAGCTCTCGGCCGATGAAGAAGTCATACAAGACATTGCCAGTGTGGCCACCAGGGGCTAGTTGACGCAGCTCGGGGTTGGGTTGGCCAGGGGCCGGGACCGTGAAGCTCTTCGCGTAGACGAAGACAGCGATCGCCGTCGAAATTAGTAGGTTCGCGGTGAGGACCTGCACGTAGTTATCCCAGAGGAAAGTCCAGACGACGAAGTCCGAGCCGTAGATGTAGGTGCATGTGGCAAGGCCAGAGAGGATCAACACCGCCGTCGGGAATGCTGTTCCAGAGTCAGAGCTGCTCTACACACACACACACGCAAATGCAGGGGTAGCTTACCATTGAACTTGTACCGCAGTCGACCTCCACAAGCCAACTCGGTACCTGCAGCCTCCTGGCCCGGGAGAAACACATAGAGCACCAGACTAAGCAGGTAGTAGCTGAGCACCCACAGGGTCACCTCTGTGCTATAGAGGTCCGCCAAGCCCCCCTTGGGCCAGCCCACTTCCTCCTTCAATTGTTCGAGAGTGAGGGTCGACGGGTGGAGTAGAGACGGTGCAGGGCAGCCGGAGACATCGTTACACAGGAACGCGAAGGTGTATACTAGGAGAGGAAGGCCGAACACGATTCCAAAGGCACCAGGCCTGCACAATGAATGGGTCAGCGTAGTCTTTCAAGAAGAGGATTGATATCACATACGGGCCACAGAACTCATACCCGCGCTTCTCGGGCACAGGCTGAATGGGAACTTTGGATCTCGAGGACTTTTTTTGCGCCATCTTGAGGCAGACTGGGGAACTGATGGCCGAACTATTCAATCAATGGACGCTAAGCAATTATAAATATCAGCTCAGCTCTGGCAGCAGGCATCCATTTTGAGAGCTGCTGGTCCGAGCCGGATGGAGCTCAGCCGGGCGGTGAACCAAAGAAAAGAAGGAAAGCTTATCCAGGTGCTGAGTCAGCCACACCCGGTCGGGACTGACTCCGACCGGTCTCCGCACCTGCCATCAATCAATGCGACGTTTCATCTCCGCACATTACGACGACAGCGTCGCGGCTCTTTCCTACGCATCCATCCATCCATCCTCTCGTGGCCGTGTTTGTCTCTCTTTTACCTTGTCCTCTTTTCTTTGGTACCTCCATTATTATCTACCTCCGACCCAACGTCACTCTCTCTTTTTCTCCAGACAACAGGATTGTCTTCTATTTGTTATCTCCTCTCATCGGACTGAGAGCCGTTATCGCCGAAACCCCCGGCTGCCTCCGTAAGGGACACATTCGCCCACGATGAAGCCCCTATCTTCTTCCCTGCTTAAGCTCCTCTTCTGTGTCGCAGCTCCTCTACTTCCTGTATACGCAGCCTCCGATTCCTCGGGTTCCAAGGACTCCCTCTCACCCTGTGTGGTCCGTTCCCCCACCACGGGCTTATTCTACGATCTCAATGCGATTTCCATATCGCCTCCGCCTGCGGAGGGCGAAAAGCCGCGCAAGAACGCTCGGGAAGGCAGCTGGCACGCCAAGGGCCATGACTACGGTGCCAACTTCACAGTCAACATCTGCGCGCCTGTGCTGGAAGATGTGAAAGACGTAGTGGGAGTCGAGAGCGCCCGGTGGAAGAACGTCAGCGCATACTACGAGAAGGAAGGCAAGGTATACTCAATTGGGTAGGTCTACTCCCGTGGGATTTCTTGGGACCTTGATTGAACAGTGTGTAGGCAACAGGCATCCGATCCCTTCTTCCGGGGGCGCAAATTGGTCATGAACTACACGGATGGCTCCCCATGTCCGGGCGACTACCTGGGCAACGGCAGCACCCACACCAAGTCCACCATTATGTCATTCCTATGCGAACGCGACTCGCCTTCGTCCCAGGCAACCGTCTCGTTTGTCGGTACAATGGACCAATGCACGTACTTCTTTGAAGTGCGCAGCTCAGCCGCTTGCGGAGCTACCGCTCCGATACCTCCGAACCAGGGGCTTTCGCCCGGTGGGGTCTTTGGCATCATGTACGCAGTTGTCTTTCACTTGGATTTTCATGTTGCTGACAGTTCATAGTGCCTTGATTGCTATCGCAGCCTATCTTGTAGGTGGCTGCGCGTATCAGCGAACTGTCATGCACCAGCGCGGCTGGAGGCAGTGCCCGAACTACAGCCTCTGGGCTGGCATAGTCGACTTTGTCAAAGTAAGTATACTAGCGTTGATACCGTTCCGTCGTTCTCGGTTTCTGCACCGAGACCTGTCGTACAAAGAATCCGGGAATACAAGGCTTCCGACCTCGCGACTGGATTGATCTTCTCGCTTTGGCTGGTCTAGAGCTTGAATCGCGGGGTGTTGGGAGCTCTCCTACGACATTTCTTGACCTCTTCCCCTTGGTTATATATCATACTGTGCTGGACATGAATAAACATCCTGGAGCTATGGTGCTGGCTGCCCGCCGCGGGCCATCATGGAGCAAGCTGGATTTCCTATGATGCTGTTTGCTATCTAGCCAGTTTCTATACCACGTCATTGAACATTTTGTACTAAATCACAGCGACATGTCTTTATCTCTTCTCGTTTCGCTCTTGGTTCGAATATCAGACAACGTGGAATCAATGCTGATTCGTCCCCTTTTTCCGAACCATAGGACATGTTCGTCATTCTACTCTCCTCCGTCGGCCGGCTCTTCCGGTTCAACCGCTCCCCGACTCTTGGGCACACGCGCGCTTCCAGCTACGGGCGACGAGGTGACCTAGACGCGGAAAACAGACTGATAGATCAGTTGGATGAAGAATGGGACGACTGATTGATGGCCGGCAAATGCATCGGTTATATGACTTTTGCTTTTCATTGCATCGCATCGCATCGCCGTGTGTCGAGGAGATACATGTATTGGCTTTTGTTCGGGTTAATTTAGAGCGTGACACGGAAAATCTTGGTACCCTGTGCTGTGTTCTGGCGGTTGTACTGATATGATTGTTTTCATGTATTTGATGGTTTATGCGCTCGTCTGTCATGTTCACCAGTAGTGGAGTATACCAGAGTTATGAAATGATTTTAGAAGCATGGTCACCACAGTACGTCTGGCTTCGGAGGGGTCCAGCCGCGTATGTACAACTCAACGGCATGACTATTGATGTATATCGCAATTCACGCGAGCAGAATCTTGACTGCAGGGACCATTCCAAGTAGGCAAGTAGGCATTAGTGACATGAAGATGCTGTAGATTAGCCGTTCAGACAGAGCAGGATTATTCTGACTCCTGACCTGGCGCTGTTCCCTGCTGCAGATACATACCGTGAGATCCTATCTCTACAGCCATATCTTCATTCGTGGACTATGGGGCACCAAAGCACCCCGAATGAATCATGATTACGGTCGACTACAAACTAGAAGACGATGAAGACTCCCACACCCTGCCACGGTGGCTGCGCAGAAAGAATGTAGAGGGCAAAGCCGGATTCGAACTGGGGTTGTCCCCCCCTGTGAACCTTTAAAAAATGTAGCTGCTCTTTGATTGAGTGTGTGCCACCTACATGGTTACGGGGCCGTGCCAACTGTACCATCTGGCCCGTTTAAAGAATAATGGACAATAACTTAGATTATAACCTTCAAATTAGCAAGAAAATCATCAAGTAGCGGTATGCAGCCTGTCAGAGTCGGCTCTGCGATGGAGTCCAGTAAGGCTTGGTTGTACAGCACGAGTATGGTGAGCTTACTCCATACTTTGCGGGGTATTCTCGTCCCCCACTCGGAACTAGAAGGGCAGACGACAGCTGCAGGGATCAACCGGGGCCCCGAACTATACCGGAATACTGACTACTACTAACTATACTAGTCAGATTTCACTGGGAGTTATTTACCATCTGCATATATACTTACCTACCTACCTGTCTGATTAATCATGAGGGCTGACATCTATGCATGTACGTGACACTGTGACAGTGAATCATGAATCATCCGGAGCGGCCCGCCCATGAGGCAATGACTTACTTGAAGGCGTGCAGTGAGGTTGCACGGGACCTTGACTTGACTCTGCAACCGTCACACTCACAGGGAATACAGTCTGGATAAATGAACGCCTCTCTCGGCTCTTATCCACCGCTATATTTCCTCCTCATGGCAACATTTTATCCAGTCCGCTAAAGAGTTTGGAGGCATTGCGCATTAGTAATCGGCCAACTTGTGAGGAAGGATGAAGGCGGCGGCCAGTCACGCCAAGCAACCAGTCAGCGACCCTGCCAGTGCGATTTCCCCATACTACCCACACCCACCACCGCCATCTCTCGGTTTCAGCCCGTCGTCCGCAGAACCCCATCACCACCAACACCACCACCACAACAACAACTACCCCCACAACCACCACCACCACCCCCCCAGCCTACACAACCAGACCTTGTGGCCCCGTCTCCCCTCGCCCACAAGTCCCAACCCGCCAAACGATGATCTGGGTCTGGTTCTTGGGGTATCTGCACCCATCATGATGGCTCCCGAGTCCGACGACTCCCCTTTGGCCTCCACCGGCCTGGCCTTTGGCCCCGACGATATCACTCTCCCCGAAGACCTCGACACCCACAGCCCCGCCAGCTCGCGTGATCCCGGTAGTGTCATCGCCCCTGGCGATTCCAACTTCTTGCAGGAATCTGGGCCTGATGCGCATCGAGATGACGCCCCCGGGGATTCCGCCCTCAACCCGGACGCACAGCAGAGTGAAAAACCCGCATGGAGCGAGATGAAGACCAAGGCCGGGAAGGAGCGCAAGCGCTTGCCGCTGGCCTGTATCGCCTGCCGACGCAAAAAGATCCGATGCTCCGGCGAGAAGCCCGCCTGCAAGCATTGCTCGCGCTCCCGCATTCCCTGCGTCTACAAGGTCACCACGAGGAAAGCGGCCCCCCGCACCGATTACATGGCGATGCTCGACAAGCGGCTCAAGCGCATGGAGGACCGGGTGATCAAGACCATCCCGAAGGAAGAAACGAGAGACATGGCTGCCATTGGTCGGTCGGTGGTCCGGCCCCCGCAGCCGGGACAGACCGCGAAAGCGCAGAAGAAGCGCACGGCGGAGGAAGCCTTCGCGGCGGAACTGGATGAGTGGGGCCGGGGCAGTCGCGAAGGTCCGCAGGACACCTTTCCGATGCGCCGGGAGAGCAAGCCAGGCGATGCCTCGGGTCTGATGACGGAGGGGGCCGAGTTCCTGCCCTCGTTGGAGATCCAAGAACATCTGGCGGAGGTGTTCTTCGACTGCGTCTATGGTCAATCCTACCTCCTGCTCCACAAACCCAGCTTCATGCGAAGGCTCAAGGCGAGGACGGTACCTCCCGTGCTCATCCTAGCCGTCTGTGCCGTGTCAGCGCGGTTCTCGACGCACCCGCAGATCAACTCCGAGCCACCCTTCTTGCGCGGTGAGAACTGGGCGAACCCCGCCGCCGCGATCGCCTTGAGTCGCCATGACGAACCGAATATAACCATCCTAACGGTATTCTTGTTACTGGGACTTCACGAATTTGGTACCTGTCATGGCGGCCGGAGTTGGTCGTTTGGCGGACAAGCACTGCGCATGGCTTACGCTCTACAATTGCACCGGGAGCTCGAATATGACCCTCTACTTGTTCAGAAAAATGGCAATGGCTCCCAGCAGCTCAGCTTCACTGACCGCGAGATCCGAAGACGAACCATGTGGGCTTGCTTTTTAATGGACCGATATAATTCTTCCGGGAGCCAGCGCCCGCCCATTGGTAACGAGAAATTCTTACAAATCCAGCTCCCCATCAAAGAGACGCATTTTCAAATGGAGATCCCAGGGCCAACCGAAGATCTAGACGGCGTTGTTTTGAACCCCGTACCCGACGACGTGGGCCAATTATCTAGCGCTCGAGACAATATGGGAGTATCCGCTTACATTATCCGTGCTGTTGTTATCTGGGGACGCATCGTCGACTACTTGAACCTAGGAGGTAAGCGGAGAGATACACAGCCGCTATGGTCGCCCGAATCTGGCTACATGCGCCTCAAGCGACAGATCGAGGAATTTTCCGCATCACTCCCCAGCCATCTTTCCTTCAATTATGAGAATCTTCAAATACACGCGGCCGATCGGATTGCGAACCAGTTTCTTTTCCTGCATATCATTATTCACCAAAACATGCTTTTCTTGAACCAGTTCGCCATTCCACTGTCCCCAGGCGGGCGACCACCGCGGGACATGCCCAAGGTCTTCCTAAGCAATGCTGGGCGTGCCGCAGTAGAAGCAGCTCATCATATCTCCGTGCTGATTGACCGTGCGTCGGCTTATCCCCTGACGGTCCCGTTCGCCGGGTACTGTGCATATTCCGCCAGTACGGTTCATATTTGGGGAATCTTCTCCAAAAACGCACAGCTGGAGGCACGGTCCAAGGAGAACCTACGCCATACGTATCGCTACCTCAACAAGATGAAGAAATACTGGGGGATGTTCCATTATATGGTCGAGAGCGCCAAGGATCGTTATCGACAATTTGCAGACGCTGCTATCAAGGGTACTGTGATAACGCAGAACGGTGGGCAGATTACCCCTATGTTCCAGTACGGCGACTGGTTCGATAAGTATCCTCACGGCATGTCGAGATCTCACTGGGAGGAGCCCGACCCGAAGGCGAAGTCTAAGAACGACGAAGGGGTGATGAGCCAAAGACCCGATCTGCAAAGCGTCGAGGAATTCTTCGCCAGCCTTTCGCCCACGCCACAACCCACTATGCCACGCCGAGCCTCGAAGAGAAGCGGCAAAAGCGACAGCGTCGCCGGCTTTGACCAAGCCACACCACCACAGTCAGTGGGTGAGGTGACTATGGAGGGTGCCCCAGGAATGCTAGGCACCACTGGAACTGGTTTTCCTCAACCCGCCATGTTCAACCACCGCAATGGACAACCGCCGTTCGGTCAAACCGCGTTTGATTTCCCCATGCCGGCTGCTGATCAGCTCCCACAACTCGATCGGCAGTTTGTGTATGGCTCATTCAGCGACTTTGATCCTGCTGCCGCGGCATTTGTGCCTCCTGTACCTGACAAGCCAGCTATGCCGCCGGCGCCACCTGATATGCCTCCTACCCAAGACCCGACTTCTACTATCTTCACCGGGCAGATAGACCCCAACGCGCCATCCGGCGCCGGGGAATACTACCAACCAAGTGCCTGGTTCCTACCATTTAACCTTGACCCGGTCGGTGCTGGAGCAGGGGTCAACCTCGACCCAGCAGCACAGCCAGGAGGGCCGACCAGCAATCCTGTTGGCGGACCCGATCTCTCTGGCTTCGGCGGTGCTGGTGCGATGCCCATGGGTGCGTACGACATGGGGTTGGGGGCGAACCGCGGCTCGCATGCTTGATCGTCTGGCATATTTGTTGTGACATTTATCTTTCTGTGACTCGTGCAGTTGGCACTTGATAATTTTACTTTCATCTTCGTACTTTGGCGACTGATCGTTACTTTGGTTGAACGGGCGGTTTTGTATATTCGGGAGGGAAAGAACCGGAGTTAAAAAGAGCTATGAGTCAGGGGTGGCTGGTTGTATTGCGGAAGTGACGCTTTTATGGCCCGTGACTCTGGATGTATTATGTAGGTGCTATATACCAAGAATATATATTCGACTTCAAAAGTAGACTGGGGTGTCTTTCGTCCAGCGATGGTCTACTAACAACCGAAGGTATATCTTTTGTAGTATATCCAGAGGACTCGAGGGACCCTTCCCGTGCTACCCGTGCTACCCGTGCTACCCGTGCTACCCGTGCCGACCTTACCAAGAAACCGACTTAAATGACATTGAAAGTACAGAGAATAACTTCAGCCAACAAAATTGGAACACGAGAGAGAGGTTTTGCCTCGGAGGAGTAGAGTAATCACGGAGTCAAAAAGCAAAAAAAAAAAAAACGAAATCCAAGTGCATCATCCGTGAATCGAACACGGGCCTCATCGATGGCAACGATGAATTCTACCACTAGACCAATGATGCTTGTGATATTATTTGTCGTCAGTTGAGTAGCTATGACCTACGGCTTTTTGGCGACCGGGGGGCTGGATATCGAATGGCCTGACTCTGGAGATGTTCTTCGGATTCAACAGCTTCAGGCCTTCGTGTCATGAGCGGAGCTCCGAGAGAGATGTACTTGGATACTACTACTTTCTATGACTACCGCAACCTCTTCCCCAGTCGAAGCTTGACAAATGCATTGAGACGCCAACTATTTCGATTCCACCTTCCGTCGACTACCCTGCCTGAGGCATCACGGTGTATCAAGATAGTATAGTTTCTTCCGTCGCATCTAAGCGTGTTTCAACGATCTATACACCGCTGTCCGATATTATGAGCTTTTCCTCATTCATTCCTTTGACATCCACGCGTTCTAGCATTAGACTAGGCCGCATCTCAACAATACCAGCCTCAACGCCAGGTGACAAGATCTTTTCTACCCGCAGAGCACTCACGCACCGCAGGATATCCTGGGTCGGCTCTTTCCCGGGGGAAAACACGGAGACATGTTGAAACTTGCTAACATCTAGGCCCATCGAGATTACAGAGATTTTTCACTTGGAATCTTTATATAGGAGTCGCTAAGGGATGGCGCGAATGCTGCCGTACTAGGCCTGCCTACACACCTACACAGGCCCTCCCCGTCACATATTCCACCCCCACCCCCAGACAGCCCTGATCTAAGTTGAAACCATTGAACGTATGAAAGCCAGCCACATCCGTCTGGACCAACCGGACCTACGACGACTTGGGTCGCCCGACCCGTTGCCGCGGGACCGAGGTCTCCAACGCTGCCACGATCTCCGCTCCAAGAATATAGATATTATAGCTGGGGAAGACAATCCACAGACCACTACAACCAACTGATCAGCCTTTTGCCCCGCCTCTACAAGATTGACAGGGGGAAAAGTTCAACTTACTTCGGAATCATCCAGAAGAAAACCAAGGTCCAGAGATCATTGTGACCGATATTCTCAAACCCGGAGAACACCTCATTCAGCCCTGTCAATGGATATCAAGATCAGCAAATCCGTAGTCCCATCCACTCCTTTTCATTCCTTCGGAGAGGTCGAAAGAGTGGGCCCCGGGCTGAGCGCAACCTACAATAGAGAACCGTCTTCCCCACCGTCATCACCGACGCACTGTACGCGACCAGCAGCGCCAGCGCGCCCGTCCGCCCCGCCACGACCTTCGTCTCCCGCAGGAACCAGCCCACCCCTTTGTGCGGGTGGCGCGGCTGCCCGCCGCGGCCGGTGGCCGTCAGGCTGGTGCCGTGGCGGTAGACGACGGCCAGGTAGTAGAGGTACCCGGCGCTCTCGAGCAGGTTCAGCACGGTCTGCGCGGCGGTGAAGCCGTTGCGGGCGTTGAAGGCCGGCCAGCCGTAGATGTAGTCGATCGTGCCGTACAGCGCGTAGGGCGTCCACAGCGGCGAGTGCAGCCGGTGGCCCGGCATGGAGTGCGGGCGCAGCAGGACGTAGCCCGCGTCCCAGAGGACCAGCGGCACCGAGAACACGAGCCACAGCGTGATCGCCGTGGAGGGGGTGTGGACCCATTTTTTGGTGGTGGTGGTGTTGTTGCTGCTGCTGCTGTTGCCGTTGGCGCTTGGGGATCGGGATGTTGTCGAGGGGGAGGTGGGCGGTGGTGGTGGGAAGTCGTCGGGGTGATGGCGGGTTGAGACCATGGTTGGTAGGTTGGTTGGGGCTATTGAGTGGGATTATTGGTGCTGTGGGTGATGAGGAGGAGGAAGCGTTGGGAGGAGGTGAAGGTAGTGGTGGTGGTCGTGGTCGATTGATGAAGCTCAGGGAGTGGGAGGGAGATTGAGAGCTCAATGAATGAATGAATGAATGAATGAATGAATGAATGAATGAATGAACGAACGATGAACGGGTTGGTTGACCCGAGGACGGCTAGTGACGTCGTGCAGGTTGCATGCAGCCACTCATAGCTGAGTCGTGGTTTCCATGACAGTTCCATGGATTCATTGATGATTGAATTGACCGCTGGATCTGTCATATTGGGATAAGCTAATCGATGCCTTGGGTCCTAAGCATTGTGTGGGGAGATGACATCTTTTTGCACAATCGCTCCATGAGATCATCTTCCATCTGGCGTGTAAGGTACGTACTGTTGTACATACTGTATTGTAGCAGACTATACTACTAGTACTGTGTGTTTCCTTGACGAGCAAACGTGATCCCGTAAATCCACATCTCAAGGACATCTATATCTAATCTGCTACCATGCTAAAGTTTCCGAGCTATGACCTCCAGCCAGTGGGTCGGTTACAGGGTGGTTTTGCTGCCAAAATCCCTTATCTCGTTTCAATCTTTCACGCCGTCGAGTTCGCCCTATCCGTCCTAATCGGGCAACGGACCCCGAGGCGGGCGCGGGGGCGACTACGGCATTCCGTTTCTGCCAGAAACGCCCGTGGGGGGAAACCATCTTAAATGAAGTCATAATTGCATGTGAATCTACTCCCTACTCCGTAGCTCCTCGCACGGTCGGTAGATTTATGATTCTTGGCTCCCCAAAATCCTCTGTTTCCTAGACATTAAACACTGGTTCACAGCAGAATGGATTCGCCATCGCCTCCAAGGGTACATATCTAGCACCCCGTGCCCGCTCTGTCAAGGCTTTCTACAGTACAGTGCTGACCAAACATCACACGCAGGTTGCAGATAGACTTGCACGCATCCGAGAGAACCAGCGAAGGAGCCGTGCCGAAAAGCTGGCGCATACTCGCGACCTAGAGAAGAAACTAATCTCCCTGCAGGAGATAATCCGGCAGAATGATGTTTACCATCGACTGACGGTCCAAGGTCTCGAGGACGAGAACCGGAGACTGCGAAGTTTATTGTCGGATGTGGGCTTATCGCCCACCGCGATTGAAGAGTATCTAGACAAGTCGGTGGAGGACCCAAGTCCCACGCAGAAGATCGCCATTCCTAGTCTCCCTCGATCGGAGTCTGGCGTGCAGGCTCCCTCGAGTCGTGGCCCTGCCCAGCAGACATGTCGCTCTGAGAGTACTCCTGATACTGCGGGGGCATTGCCACCTCCAGAATCGAAGCCGGTCAATGATTCGAGCGAGTCTACAGTCGAGATCAAGGGTCAGTCGATGGAGAAGGGTCGAGAGAAATCCCACGGCCAGTCAGTGTGTGGCTGCTCACCCGATGAAACCGGAACGTCATGGCCGGATAGTAAAAGTGGCGATGTCCTGAATACCACTCTCTGCGCCATCGCCGACGAGCTCATCACACAGTACAACACGCGGGGTGTCGAGCTAGACGAGATTCGACGCAAGCTTTGGGCGGGCTTTTCCAGGGGTCTTACCACGGAGGAGGGCTGCAGGGTGCAGAACCAGATTCTGTTCCAGGTTCTTGACGAGATTAGCAACAACTAACTCGCCTCTGTAACCCCTACAGCTGACTCCCAGGGCTCAGCTCCCTAGCTGGCACGGATAGCTCTAGGGTGTATTCTATCAAGTTGAAGGACAAGAAAAGTTTATGATTTACGCTTCCCACCTCCGCTTCCTGGCATACCACCGAACTGCATACACCATTTCCAACAACACCGGCACCTCAACCAGTGGCCCAACGGTAGCAGCTGGCGCCTCACTATCCAAGCCAAATGTGACAATTGCCACTGCGATTGCCGACTCGAAGTTATTACATGCCGCAGTGAAGCTTTGTGTGCACGACAATCTGCAGTATGGAGTTGATCGCCTCGAGGATGACGCAGTATTCGCCACCACCGCCTGCAAATCCTGTCCAGACAAGAACCTGTGTCCGTCAATCCTGCACTGCATGACATTGCGTCCCTGGAAGTGAGAGAGTGTACATACCATGGCAATGCAATGCGCAATTCCAATCAGAATTAGGCCCTCTCTCAGACCTCTCTCGCCTAGTAGAATTGCCCAGGTCAGACCCCGCTGCGCCCAGCACCAATACTTAATCAGCACGTTTCTTGGGTCTCGTCAGTTTCGAAGGAGGACGGATGCATACCATGAACAAAGGCGCAATGATCCAATCGACCACAATACTGAACCCGATCTGAATCCATAGCTCTCTCTTCCGTAACGAACGGTGTAGCATCATGACCAGGAGACCGACTACTGCGTTAACGTACTCGTTGTCAGCATGATACTATCTACCTTACCTAGAATAACCAACGAATGCAATATCTTTATCTACTAGCCAGCTGGGCTTTCCCTTACCAACCAGCACAGAAACCCCGACGAATTTACCCTTCTCCAGAGCCAGATGGGCTGTCAACCAATCACCGTCGAGTGACACACTCTACCTACAGGTATGTGGTAATGTCATGTGACCTATAGTACCGCAAGGTTTACCTGCTGGAGGAAAATCGGATTCAGGACAGTAAGATTTGATACAGGACGCCATCCGAGGTCAGGGAATTAGAAACATCGACGTCCTACTGATAAACCTACTGATATTAAAGTGACCCGAGATCTTGGGGATAGGGGTACATTCCATCACGCTGGCCTTCTGAAGGTATATGCATACAGTGTATGCTTCGGACAAACTATACCTTGTTAGTATGCTTTCTAACACAGAACCCCTGCCCTGCAGGCCTGGCCCAGTAGAAGGTGGCTGTGTAGAACAGCCGGCGCGGGAACCATATCTCGATAAACCCTTCAAGAAAAAGCCCGCTTTCGAGCGATGGGGATAGATAAATCGCATCTGAACCCTAACTACGGAGCTCTTGCAACTGGACACGGCTTATCGGACTGCGCTAGGGATGGAACAAGGTGAGGGGCGCCTCTTTCAGGTGACCATCTAGGTCTCTTGTGTCCGATATGGTACTCCTTGAAATCCGAGGTCACTCGGACGAACACATCACGACGGAGAGTAGATCGTATCCCGTCCTTCGGGACGAGATGCCATCTCCTACGCGCCACAACGCCTATATCCCGGTAGTCGGACGAGTCGGGAGTAAAGATATCGGGAAGGATCATGGTGCATGGGCGGCAGGGCTGCACTGCACTGCTCTGTACTGCACTGCACTGCTCTGCACCTGATGCTCGGGGAAGAACGCGGCGAATGGATCCGGGAGTCCAAGTCACCTGAGCCCTGAGTCTGCAGATCTCGGGAGAGGGAAGGGAATGCCGATGCTGGGGCTCGGAGAGTCGGTTGGTTGGTTTCTCGGGGAGAGGAACGGGTGTATTTACTGTACTGTACCTGATCTTCAGTGGTTTGTGCTTGGATACTTCACTTCGGGTGTGTTCTACGGGACAAGGTTTGGCCTGCGGGCTTTGGGTTATGATAAGAGGGGGCTTTTGATGCAGTCTGGGTGGGCGATAGATTGGAACAGTGCTGGATTGGTTTACTGGATATACTCCTTTTGTTGGATTCGAGTGCAAAGGGTGTTGTTGCTTTCTAGCGTCGTTGATCTAGCGGTACTTCTGATCCTGGATGCTGATGTTGAGGGTGAGAGAGAGGATTGGGATCTGGCTATGATGGTAGCCAAGTTTTACCCGGGTTCGAGAGTGTCTATGCGAGATGACAGAGATGGTTTTGTATACTTTGGTCCGATGTACTTGAGATTGCTATCAGAATGACCCGGGAGTATACCGTGGAGGACTACAATCTCTAGATAACCGAGGATCTTAGCAGCTGGGATTTGTGTCTTTAAAAGCTACCATAGGAAACATGACCACATGGACAGTTGAATGATCCGACAAAGCACAGAACGGCTATGTTCAGCCTACTTGCGCTACAATCATGTTTTCTGCATCGCAGTCGAGGACCTTCCGGTGCCGGGTCCGCTATCGGCCGGGGTGGTGTCCTGCCCGCGCCGGAATTCGCATTCCGGGGTATCAGGCGATAGCGGAGAACCCTGGACAGTCCACGAGGGGGGCAGAGTACACCACTTAGGTAGTAGTACTGTACATTAGATTATTCTCGTGCCAGAATACGAAGAGAGGATATGTGGAGAAAACGGAGAAATACTCTCCACTCTCCAAGTACATGTACTGTACGGCTTCTGTCGAGGCTAGAAAGTGCTAGACACAATTGTCGGGTTGTTGGGCAGTCGCTTAGTGTGGGACTGTTTAGTCCCGGAATCGTGGTCTTCGGGATGACGTTGAAAAAAAAAAAAAAAAAAAAAAAAGCAAAGAAAAGAAAACAAACCCCCACGGAGGGTTTCCCCGCAACCCCAGCCCAGCCCGCGCCAAATTCGCTGCGCGGACCGAGCACAGTCCGCAGGGTATCCGACAGGGAAATTTCGACGAACTGCGAGAGAACGTCCACCTCTCACACTGTCTGGGTAAATTGTCGGGACATTATCCTTTGAATAGGCTAAGATGATCGCAGTGCATGCGTGCCTGCATCGCTGCCCTCTAGTCTATTGGGAAGGTAACAGCACATCTCAAATGCAAGCCTGGTGTTGGCTGGGCTTGCTCGGAGTCAATGCGCACCGGGAATAACCTCAGTCCAGATGCTCTACATCCTCTCACCAGAGCACCAGGCCGAGTTCGAGAGGATTCCCAAGCTAACCCTGGGTCTGGCTAAACCACGGGGAAATGTCGTCAGACCGTACCGTAGGTATACTGACTCATGGATGAGAAATCCATGCAGTCTCAATGCCGACTGCCGAGAACCCTGATTGGGGAAGAATGGGGGACGATCCATGGCAGGAGACTAGTCAAGGCATAACGAAGGACAAATAGACTCCACTTTCCGGGGGGAAGAAGACAAAATCCCGAGAGAGACTATGACTTGATCGTGGAGGCCATACACAATCCCGTCGGAGTCGTGCCGCTCTTTGCCTCGCAACGGGGACCCGAGCAAGTCAGTGGCAGCCCGACTTGGCCTTGACTCCTCCAGGCTGTGTGCATCGAGAGGGGACGGAGGGAGGGGGGTGGAATGATTGTCTTGACTTGCGACGGAAGGAGTGGTGGCTCTATGGGCTGACCCTTGCGGGCGAAGGATGTAAGGCGCCGTCAGCCGCGGGAAAAGCAAGCATGACTTTTTTTTATTGCACGGCCAGTGTGTTGTTGACTACTCGGCAATGTTCTGTTTGTTTTGCTCTGCTGGCAGGTCCAAGGACGGACCACGATGTCGTGGGAGGCGACTGGTCGGCTACCGCAGCAGGGATTCATTAATCTATTGCCAGTAGACTGGAGAAGTGAATGACTCCATTGATGCCTTTTCCAGGTTTCCTTTCCCCTCTTCTTTTTCCACGGGCGGCTGACCAACAAGCGGGATGCAGAAGTGAAAATGCGGGGAATGGCTGGGGAGACGGTGGACGGTACCGTAACATTCCACTAGTCGACTGACTGATACTATCTTCCACTATAGTCAGCCATTGCTTGCTTGATAATGACGATGCGGGGAACAGCTGTTGACTTGAAGTCAACGAAAGCAATACTACCTTCCATCTCGTTCTGCTACCAAGCTTCTGGGGTGTCTTCCAAGTCCGCTATTTGACCGAGAGTTGTAACTTGTAAACCCCGTAATTGAGCTGTCTCCCGTACGGCAGCCGATTGTGTCCCGAAGCTGATCGGAATGCACCAGACTGGGCTCGAGTGATAAGTTTATTTATTTTTATTTTGGTTTCAGTCAAGAATGCCAGGCAGCTCCCTCCCGACCGCAATCTGCTGGCCTGTCGGAAAGACATCATCGGACATAGGGCAGTTTGAGGTTCATGTTGTTCATGTCAGGGAGGATGAGTTAAGTTGGTGAAAGGGATCGGAGTGTAAACAGCGTAACGGAATTACCCCAAGGGTGTGCCCCACACCAGTACCAGCGGTATCAGCGGTAACTTACCAGCCAGTGTGTAAACTAAACTAAGGTTAGTTTGTTTAGTTTAGTTCCCTTGTACTGGAACTACTACAGTCAACTTGGGCACTTGTTTTTCATTTCCCATCTGCCCATCCACCTCATTCCGTCATCTCCCCAGATGGCTGGACTCTGTTGGTGTGGGGTTCGGTCATTCCGGTTGAGTTTTCTGCGCTTCGGCTGCAAACCATCTCCAGAATGAGAAATTCCTCGTTGAATCGGAGTGTTATACGGTGTGCAGATGATGCTGCCGAGCCGAGTGCATGGACGCAGGAGCGCGAGGAGCAGCAGCAGCAGCAGCAGCAGCTTCCTCCCCAGCTGAGTGAATCACGGCAAATACAATCGTTTGACTTGCCTGATTTCCGACCGTTCCATGCTCTCTCCCTCGCCGCCTGTCTCTGCCTCGATCTGGCTTTCTCCCTGTCGATCCCCATGCTCATAGCCAAGCCAATGGAACCACTCGTCACTGGCCCAGTCCATGGCCGACCAGGTGCTTGCTTACTTTGACTTCTTGTTTGCGAGACATCAATTCACTCGTGGGTGGGTAGCTCCGCAAATTGAAAAAAAATAGGCCAAGAGGTTCCGATTGATTTTATTCACCGTCGCCAGTCTCTCTCATAGCTGTGGCGCCCCCTCTCTTCGTTGCTGGGGTTATTTATATCTTCCCCCTTCCCCCCCCCTGATCGGCCTTGTTTGTCCTTCCACCTTTGTACTACTTCAACATCTTTCTCAAATTTTCGAGAGCGCAAGCTGTGTGGCTGGCTAGCTCGTTGCTTCCTCTTTCTTCAGCTACCTCTACGCCATCATGAAGCTCAGTTGGCTTGAGGCGGCTGCCTTGACGGCTGCTTCAGTCGTCAGCGCTGTATGTTGGCTTTTTTTGACCTCCTCGCTGCTTCTAGATATTTGGTGTGAGGCTGACAATTCGTGCTCTACAGGATGAACTGGCGTTCTCTCCTCCTTTCTACCCCTCTCCGTGGGCCAATGGCCAGGGAGAGTGGGCGGAAGCCTACCAGCGTGCAGTGGCCATTGTATCCCAGATGACTCTGGATGAGAAGGTCAACCTGACCACCGGAACTGGGTAATGACACTACAGCTGCTGCGAGATGAATCGCCTGCTAACGAGCTTCTAGATGGGAGCTGGAGAAGTGCGTCGGTCAGACTGGTGGTGTCCCAAGGTAGGACCCCCGGATAAAAACATGTGTTCAGTTGGCTAACCGACGATCGCTGTCTAGACTGAACATCGGTGGCATGTGTCTTCAGGACAGTCCCTTGGGAATTCGTGATAGTAAGTCTTGATCTAACTGGAGCTCGGCCGTTGACACTCTTGCTCACAATGTGTTCTGCAGGTGACTACAATTCGGCTTTCCCTGCTGGTGTCAACGTTGCTGCGACATGGGACAAGAACCTTGCTTATCTACGTGGTCAGGCTATGGGTCAAGAGTTCAGTGACAAAGGAATTGATGTTCAATTGGGACCGGCCGCGGGTCCCCTCGGCAGGAGCCCTGATGGAGGTCGCAACTGGGAAGGTTTCTCTCCAGACCCGGCTCTTACTGGTGTGCTCTTTGCGGAGACGATTAAGGGTATTCAAGACGCTGGTGTCGTGGCGACAGCCAAGCATTACATTCTCAATGAGCAAGAGCATTTCCGCCAGGTCGCAGAGGCTGAGGGCTACGGATTCAATATCTCCGACACGATCAGCTCTAACGTTGATGACAAGACCATTCATGAAATGTACCTCTGGCCCTTCGCGGATGCCGTTCGCGCCGGCGTTGGCGCCATCATGTGTTCCTACAACCAGATCAACAACAGCTACGGTTGCCAGAACAGTTACACTCTGAACAAGCTTCTGAAGGCCGAGCTCGGCTTCCAGGGCTTTGTGATGTCTGACTGGGGTGCTCACCACAGTGGTGTTGGTTCTGCTTTGGCCGGCTTGGATATGTCAATGCCTGGCGATATCACCTTCGATTCTGCCACTAGTTTCTGGGGTACCAACCTGACCATTGCTGTGCTCAACGGTACCGTCCCGCAGTGGCGCGTTGACGACATGGCTGTCCGTATCATGGCTGCCTACTACAAGGTTGGCCGCGACCGCCTGTACCAGCCGCCTAACTTCAGCTCCTGGACTCGCGATGAATACGGCTTCAAGTATTTCTACCCCCAGGAAGGGCCCTATGAGAAGGTCAATCACTTTGTCAATGTGCAGCGCAACCACAGCGAGGTTATTCGCAAGTTGGGAGCAGACAGTACTGTTCTACTGAAGAACAACAATGCCCTGCCGCTGACCGGAAAGGAGCGCAAAGTTGCGATCCTGGGTGAAGATGCTGGATCCAACTCGTACGGTGCCAATGGCTGCTCTGACCGTGGCTGTGACAACGGTACTCTTGCTATGGCTTGGGGTAGCGGCACTGCCGAATTCCCATATCTCGTGACCCCTGAGCAGGCTATTCAAGCCGAGGTGCTCAAGCATAAGGGCAGCGTCTACGCCATCACGGACAACTGGGCGCTGAGCCAGGTGGAGACCCTCGCTAAACAAGCCAGGTAAGTTCTGTCGTCGATACATTGGAGGTATATGTTTTCAGTGAACTGACAAGTGTCTCCGTAGTGTCTCTCTTGTATTTGTCAACTCGGACGCGGGAGAGGGCTATATCTCCGTGGACGGAAACGAGGGCGACCGCAACAACCTCACCCTCTGGAAGAACGGCGACAACCTCATCAAGGCTGCTGCAAACAACTGCAACAACACCATCGTTGTCATCCACTCCGTTGGACCTGTTTTGGTTGACGAGTGGTATGACCACCCCAACGTTACTGCCATCCTCTGGGCGGGCTTGCCTGGCCAGGAGTCTGGCAACTCCTTGGCTGACGTGCTCTACGGCCGCGTCAACCCGGGCGCCAAATCTCCATTCACCTGGGGCAAGTCGAGGGAGGCGTACGGGGATTACCTTGTCCGTGAGCTCAACAACGGCAACGGAGCTCCCCAAGATGATTTCTCGGAAGGTGTTTTCATTGACTACCGCGGATTCGACAAGCGCAATGAGACCCCGATCTACGAGTTCGGACATGGTCTGAGCTACACCACTTTCAACTACTCTGGCCTTCACATCCAGGTTCTCAACGCTTCCTCCAACGCTCAAGTAGCCACTGAGACTGGCGCCGCTCCCACCTTCGGACAAGTCGGCAATGCCTCTGACTACGTGTACCCTGAGGGATTGACCAGAATCAGCAAGTTCATCTATCCCTGGCTTAATTCCACAGACCTGAAGGCCTCATCTGGCGACCCGTACTATGGAGTCGACACCGCGGAGCACGTGCCCGAGGGTGCTACTGATGGCTCTCCGCAGCCCGTTCTGCCTGCCGGTGGTGGCTTCGGTGGTAACCCGCGCCTCTACGATGAGTTGATCCGTGTTTCGGTGACAGTCAAGAACACTGGTCGTGTTGCCGGTGATGCTGTGCCTCAATTGGTAATTAGATCCTCGTGCAGTATTGGTTCCAGATGCTAACCGCTTGCTAGTATGTTTCCCTTGGTGGACCCAATGAGCCCAAGGTTGTGTTGCGCAAATTCGACCGCCTCACCCTCAAGCCCTCCGAGGAGACGGTGTGGACGACTACCCTGACCCGCCGCGATCTGTCCAACTGGGACGTTGCGGCTCAGGACTGGGTCATCACTTCTTACCCGAAGAAGGTCCATGTTGGTAGCTCTTCGCGTCAGCTGCCCCTTCACGCGGCGCTCCCGAAGGTGCAATGAGCAGCTGAAGGTGTTGTGAAGGAAGGGCTTTGGGCCTCAGCTTCAGCTTGCAGCTGAAGATGATGTATACATTTTTCCCAAGTCGTAGAGACTACGAATTTAATGACTATGATGCTGTCAACAAGGACCATCAGTAGATTTAAATGTATTGTAATGATAGCGTAATCGTTGCAGGTGTGGCTGTGCCGGTGGTTGTGGTTGTGGTTGTGGTTGTGGTTGTTGGAAGAATCTGGTTAGGGCGGCCGGAAGGCAGGCAGCGACGTCATCCATCCGACTTCCGCCATTTGCATTTCATTTCCTCTCCCTTTGTATCATCACTGCATGCTTTTATATCCTCATCCTTTCAGACCATTTCCCCTTAATTCCTCCAATACATGCATTTTCTCCTCATTTTACTCACATAGAACATCATTTCACATCCTCTATCCATCTCCGAAGCAATACACCACAAGACGAGTACAATCACCCGGACAACAGAAGAGAAAAAAACCACGATGCCATCCGCGGACAATCCCCCTTCTCCCGCTGGAGGAGTAGCAGCAGCAGCAGCAACGACCCCGACCACATCACGATCGCGCCAACCGCCGGTCACCGCTCTCCTCATCTATCCTCTCACGCTGGTCGTGGGGTCTGTTTTCTCCGTCCTCTCGCCAACCGCCTACGGCAGCCGTGATCCGAGCGCCAGCGCCAGCAGCAGCAGCAGCCGCCCACTCCAGAACCACCCATCCCCCTTCGCCCCAACCATCGCCTCGGACCTGCACCTCTCGTTTCCCGCCGCCGTTCAGCCCGTCAACTATTTTGCGCGCAAGGACAACGTCTTCAACCTCTACTTCGTGAAGATCGGCTGGCTCTGGACGACTTTCGCCTTCGTCCTGCTCCTCCTCACCCAATCCGCCTACACCGGGAGCGGCGGTCGCGGCGCCAGTGGTAACACCAGCGCCGCTGCGGCGCACCGGTCCCGCCGCACGACGCAGGCCGTCATCCGGTACGCGCTCGCCACCACGGCGTGGTACCTGACGACGCAGTGGTTCTTCGGCCCGGCGCTGATCGACCGCAGCTTCGTGCTGACGGGCGGGAAGTGCGAGCGGGCGATCCCCGAGGCCGAGAACCCGTACACCACCACCGACTTCGGGACGCTGGCGACGGCGGTGGCGTGTAAAGGGGCTGGCGGCGCGTGGCGCGGCGGGCACGATGTCAGTGGACATGTGTTCATGTTGGTGTTGATGACCTCGTTGATTGGGTTTGAGGTCTGGGGCGCCCGGCTGTCCCGGGAGGAGGTGGGTTCGAAGGAGAAGGAAGAAGGGGAGAAGACGGATGGACTTGACCAGGGTGGAGATGCTGATGGGCAGGATATTTTCGGGGTGTGGTCAGTCCGGTTGGCGTGGACGGTCGTAGGCTTGGGGCTGTGGATGTTGTTGATGACGGCTATTTGGTTTCACACTTGGTTTGAGAAGGTATGTTTTCTCATGGGCGTTCGGGGATTGTGTGCACCCTTTGAGGGTAAGGATAGAGGGGAGCTAATGTTTCTGCTGCAGGTAACGGGTCTTTTGATTGCACTGGCCACGGTTTATACGATTTACCTTCTCCCTCGGACCAATATCCCGTGGAGGGAGATTGTGGGGCTCCCTGGAGTTTAGAGGGTTTGGGTTTTATGATTTTATGTTTGTGGCGTTGATAGAATGATGGATGTTCGAGGAAGGGGAGTTTCCTCGGGCTGTGATATACATACTGTACATGCTTGCATTTTTTTGGAGACCGCCTGGTTGACTGATCTTGTAGAGTACGCTTACCTCAATGCATCAGGTAATTATCTGTTGTGAATTCTCTTACTCTCGGGTTGTTTAACCCGTCAAGCTATGGGTTCAGGTCCGAAGTAACCCCGACAGAAAGCTGTCGAATATCAATAATGACCTGCAAAGGACTCACTCAGCCCACTCACCTCCGGGGATCAACGCGGCGGCATACATGACCCGCGTGATGGGCCGCAACTCCTCCGGCGTCGCATTGCGGCCCGTCTCCATCCAGATGTACGGATCCCAGCACTCGACGATCCGCTCCGCGTGGCTCTTCAGCTCGACCGCGCGGTCCTGGTCGGACTGCTCCGCCATGCACCGGAGGCCCAAACACGTCCCGAACTCACGGAAGGCCAACCGCGAGCGGAGATCGCGGTCAAGGAAGTGTCGTCTCTCGAACAACTCATCTTGTTTACCCTGCAGCATCAGCCTCTCATCCCATCCCAGCCCAGCCCATTGATTTCTTAACCACAACCCCCAGGGAGGGAAAGGAAAGGAAAGGAAAGGAGAGGAAAGGAAAGGAGAGGAAAGGAAAGGAGAGGAAAGGAAAGACCATACCAACCCTCGCCAAACAATCCCCCGCCATCCGCCCCGCCCACTCCTCCCCTTTCGAGTCGGCAAACCAATGCGCCGTCCACATCGCCATCCCCAAATCCAAGGGATCATGCGAGACGAACCCCTCGCCCTTCCGCTGGACGATCCGCCGATAATCCTCAATCTCGCCTGCTAACAACTCGTCCTCCGGCCCTTGCTGATCCCGCCGCCGAAACCACCGATCCGTCGCCCGCAGCAACCGAAACACCACCCACCCATCCACGGGATCGAGATTCCCCTCCGACGCCACCAGCACCTGTTCCAGGTGGACGTCCATCTTCCACACCATTCGCGGTGGGTGATGCGGGCCGCCACCGCCACCGCCACCGCCCCCGCTCCCGCTACCGCTCCCGCTCCCGCCGCGCACGAAATGCGGATGAATCGCCCGCGCCAGCGCGACCGCCTGGTCGTTCCACGTCCGATCGCCCGTGGCCACCGCCGTCCGGTTCAGCGCGAACATCCACAACGTCAGGTAATGGTGGTACTGGCCGTCGCCGTCGGGCCCGTGGGCGTGCGGTTTGCCGATGCGCAGCCCGCCGGCGAGGGGGTTGGTGGGCGTGGCGGGCGGGAGCGGGGTGGAGGGTGAGGCGCGCGTGGTGCCCAGCGTGCGGTGCACGGTGGTGATCAGCGTCGTGGCCAGGGTGAGGTAGTGGTCCTTGGTGGGGGGTTGGGGCTGGTTTTGGGGCTGGTGGTGGAGGGCGGTTTCCCGGTGCAGCGTGAGGAAGTTGAGGACGCCGAACGCGTCCGTCCACAGGTAGCGGCCGCGGTGGCCGCCGGATTGCGCGGGCGGGGTCCATTGCGCGGGGTCGCGGATGGTGGTTATGGGGCCGTAGAGGGATTCTTGGGCGCGGATGAAGGGGGTTAGTTTTCCGGTTGCAGTTGGGGTGGGGGGCATTTTTCTGTGTAGGTGTCGGTGGTGTTGGAGTCTGGGGTCTGGGGTATAGATGGTGGTGGTGATGGTGAGGGATTGGGATCGGGAAGGAAGGGATCGGCGGGTTGGAGGGTTGATATCAAGATACAGGATGTAAGCTATACTCTAAATCATCTGGTACTGTACTCCGTATGAGCATATTACTCGCTAGTCCTCCTCATTCATTGCTCGGAAGGTGGCGAAGATCAAGTCACGATGACCCGGTGGTGATCTCATCTCGCCGCTGCCGAACCCTAATCGGACGGCGTGCCAGTATATAAACTCCGCGCGTGCCTCGCGCCCATACTGTCATCTCGTATCGGAACAAACACATTCCCAAAAATGGGCTGAATCACTGATGACAGCTAAGCTCTGGCGTCTAGCCCAACACTTCAAACCGACCCCCACGATGTCGCAATTCCAAGACCTCTTCACCGCAGCAGCTCACCCTCTGCCCGCCATCCACGACCCAACCTTTGGGTCCCACTTCGACACCTTCGGCGAGTACCGCGTCGTCCTCCTCGGCGACGGCACGCATGGCACCTCGGAGTTCTACGCCGCCCGCGCGGAGATCACCAAGCGCCTGATCGAGCACCACGGCTTCAACATCGTCGCCGTGGAAGCCGACTGGCCCGACGCGGAATCCGTCGACCGGTACGTGCGCCAGCGCCCGGGGCCGCAGGCCCGCATCCGACAGGGCGGCGACGACAACGCGCATGAACCCTTCAAACGCTTTCCGACCTGGATGTGGCGCAACCGCGAGACCCAGGACCTGGTCGAATGGATGCGCGACCGCAACGCGACGCGGACCGATCCCGCGCAGAGGGCCGGGTTCTACGGTCTCGACCTGTACAGCATGGGCGCGTCGATCCAGGCGGTCATCGACTACCTGGACCGCATCGACCCCGCCGCGGGCAAGGACGCGCGCCGCCGCTACGGCTGCCTGCAACCGTGGGTGGAGGACCCCACGGCGTACGGGCTGGCCTCGCTGCGCGGCATGGCGGACTGCGAGCAAGGGGTCGTGCAGATGCTGCGCGACCTGTTGGCCCGGCGGCTGGAGTATTCCGAGGATGTGCACGACGGCGAGGAGTACCACAGCGGCCAGCAGAACGCCTACCTGGTGCGCGACGCCGAGCGCTACTACAAGGCCATGTACTACAGCTCGGCCTCGTCGTGGACGCTGCGCGACACGCACATGGTGGACACGCTGCGCCGTGTGCTGAAGAGTCGGCCCGCGGGCAGCAAGGCCGTCGTCTGGGCCCACAACTCCCACTGCGGCGATGCGCGCTTCACGAGCATGGGCACGCGCCGCAAGGAGGTCAACATCGGCCAGCTGTGTCGCGAGCGCTTCGGCCGCGAGAACGTCGCCACCCTCGGCTGCGGCACGCACACGGGCACCGTCGCCGCCGCCCACGAGTGGGACGAGGACATGGAGATCATGACCGTCCGGCCCTCGAGGCCCGATAGCTGGGAGTGGCTGGCCCATCACACGGGCATCCCGCGCTTCGTGTGGGATCTCCGCGAGGGGCGCATCAGCCCCCGGCTCAAGGAGGCCATGGCCGCCGAGAGTCATAGGCTTGAGCGGTTCATCGGCGTCATCTACCGGCCGGACACCGAACGCATGTCGCATTACTCGCAGGCGGACCTGCAGCAGCAGTTCGACGCGTATATCTGGTTCGATGAGACAGAGGCGGTGAAGCCGCTGGAGACGGTGCAGCCGAAGACGGTGATGGGCATGGAGGAAACATATCCTTTTGGATTGTAGTTGTTCATTCTGGTGTCTGTTGTTAATTGTTGTTTAGTGATAAGCTCAAGCAGTAGAATGAAGATGGGGTGTATGCGTGCACGTGATCACTTATCTAAGCTTTGACGTCAGCTCACCGCCTGGCCGCTGTTTTGTTTATTCGCCCTTTTACCCCATGCGCTCAATTCTCCTCTTGTCGTCATTCTTGTGCATTGCCACTGTTATACCCTCGATATCATCCCTTTTATCCCCGTATCTTATCACATCCCATTACCAATTCATTGTATATAGCAGCCATGGCGGTCCGACGGTCCGCCCGTCTGCGCAATCGCGATGCGTCCGTGTCCGAGGTAAGCCATTCGCCCATCCGAGCATCCCACCCCCCGTCAACGTGAAGGATCAGGTGAGATCCGAGGGAGGGAGGGGGTGTGGAATGCTACCCTGTGTGCCTCAAGTCACTGACACTGAATGACCCGCTTAGGAACCTCAGCCACCACCTGTCCCCGCTGAGCACAGTCACGTCAACAAAGATCACGTCAACAATCGGCATGACGACCAACTCCCTAAGAAGCCAAACAAACGGACCACCAGGAACAAGAAGAAATCCCAACCCACCCACGAACCTACCGATCTACCCCCTGTTCTTGAACGTGAGGAGACCGCCGTTGTCAACACCTCTGAACTCAATCCCGAACCTGAACGTGAGGCCGACAACGCCCCTGCTGTAGTGGACAAGAAATCTGCCCCCGCAAGCGAAAAACCCGAACCTCCTCAGCCTGCTCCTGCTACAGCCGAAGCCCCCGAAACTGCATCCAAGGAAACCGAAGCCCAATCGACGCGTGCCGCAGCCGCAAGGGCGGAGCGGACCAAAAAGCGATCCATCACTGCCGCGTTCGAAAAGGCCGAGTCGACATTCAAGAAGATGAAGAGCGCCGCGTTCTCCAAGAGCGGAGAGACCCCCAAGAAGGGCGCCGGCGACGCGTCCGATCGCGCCGAAGCTACGCCCAAGAAAACTCCCAATGCCGCGTCCGCGCGAGTCGAGGCGACCCCGAAGAGAATCACCCAGTTGACTTCGCCAGTCAAGGGCACCACCCCTTCCAGAATCCCAAGCGTTGCCACCCCGCTCAGGGCTACACCCGCTGCGGCTAAGGGTCCCGGTGCAAAGACCCCCTCCACCGTCATGGCGCGTCCTTCCCACCAAGATATGCACCCCAGCAAGGTCCACCAGAGCACCACTAAGCAGCCCGACTCCGGCTTGGTTTTGGGGTTCAACCCCGTCAAGAAGGATGCCCAAGGCAACGTCGTCAAGGACACCGCGATTGAGAGCACTCCGACCAAGGCTAGAGACTCCCCCGCGTCGGCATACTACGGCACCCCTGCGTTTGAGTTCAAGTTTGCCAGCCAAGAGGCCCAGCTGAGCGACGAGGCCAAGAAGCTCATGGAGAGCGTGCGCCTGGACGCCGCGAAAATCAAGGCGCAGATGGTCAAGGATCAGGCCAACAGCGCACAGGACAAAGCCGAGGCCACTGAGAGAAAGATCGTGCAGCCCAAGGGAAAGACCGACCGTTTCACCGATGCTCATATGGCCGAATTCAAGAAGATGGACTCCATCGCAAATCATCCCTCGGCCTTCCGTGCCGCTCCGGGTCGCTTCCAGCCGGTCATTGAGAAGAAAACTCTCAAGAGAACCAACTCCAAGGCACGATTGGACGAGACCGACAGCAAGTCGCCTTCGCCTTTCAAGGCCCCCGTTGCACGGCCCTCGCCTGCCCCGGTTGCCGCTTCAGCTAAACGCGTCAAGCACAATCAGACTGATGACGCCTCGACCAGTCGTCTCCCTACTCTGAACAGCCCTAAGCCCAGTTTCACGCGTCCCAAGCACTCTTTCCGCAAGTCTTTGATGACTCCGACCCGAGCCTCGGCGGCGCGTGCGTCGACCGTGAGACCTGCTCGCACTTCGATGATTCCCTCGCTGGTCCGCTCCCCAGCCCCCACGCAGCCAGAGGTCCCGCGCACGCCTCAGACCGACTTCAACCCCCGGCTGAAGAGCAACATTCCCAATTTCAGCCAACTCCGGTCGATCCTTCGTCAACCCCATCAGCTTTTCTCCAAAGACCCCCTCAAGATTGCGGCAGGCACCCATGTGGCGGCTCCCGACTTCAGCTCGAACATGCTGTTCGGCTCGTCGCGGGACGCCACCGAGGAACCCTCGCACACTCCTTCTCCTAAGAAGCGCGTTGAGTTCACTCCTTGCGTGAAGGATGCTCCGGAGGAAACCGTGTTCTCGCCTTCTCCTTCGAAACTCCCCACCGCGAGTGCCTCTCGGGTGGTCTCTGACATTGTTTACCCCACTCTACCTACCTTGACCCCGGACCACGCCCGCAGCCCCAGCAAGATCGGCAGCACCACCAAGAACAGCGAGGCGTCCACGCCTACTATCCGCCAGGTGCGTCCTTCCGACGCCACTCCTCTGCCCGAGATTGCCGGCGTGCCCCACGGTATCGGCCACAAGAAACGCAACCGTCCCACTGTCGAGGAGGAGAAGCACGACGCGAGTTCCTTGCCCGAGATTGCCGGTGTTCCCCACGGAATTGGTCATAAGAAACGCAACCGCACAGCCGTCGAGGCAGAGGATGTTGATGCCGAAAACGTGCCTCCAGCCGATAATGCGGGAGCGCGCAGCGCCAAGCGCCTCAAGATGAGCGCGCCGTCGCCGTCGCCATTCAAGAAGACCGGCCGTGCTTCCACTCTGTTCGCCAAAGCCACGGGTACTCCCAGTGCTCCCAGTGCTACTAAGGATACGGCCTCGAGTGTGGCAGGTACGCCCACGCCCAGCAAAGTCCGCTCCCACACTCCGCTCCGCTCTGCAACCCGACCCTCGGCGGGACGCGCCAGCACCACCGCCACTACCGCTACCACCCCGGGCAGTGCTCGTGCTCGCAACCGGGGCGTGCTGACCATGAGCCGTCTGCATCTGCTGTCTCAGCCCAAGAGCCGTTCTTGAATATTGCATCGAGTTGTGCGATCCGCATCTCATGATGATTTACCAATGTGGAATAGCATGTGCATATTCATTTTCCGAGTTGGGGACTACGAAATGGGGTAGTTGCTGGAAAGCTGTTTTTTTTTCTCGCATCAGATTGTGTAGCGTGTTCCTCCGACTTGGGACTTTTACTGGTGGTGTCCATATGGCTTGGATTGGCGCTTGGAGTTTGCAGGTGCAAATGCATCCGGCATGCTGGGTTAAGGCGTTTTCTGTCGCTTGTTTGATTAGTCTTGACCATGTTGATCAGATGGGACTTGTTGATATTGTAATGATTATGATTTTTCTTTGTGGTGGTTCCGTGTCTGTGAAGATGTAGTGCGTCTTCGAAGTCTCAGTTCGGTGTGATGGTAGACTGTCTTGCAACCAGATCGGCACTCAGCGCCCAACTGCAGAATGTGAAGCCTACAGTATAAGCCATACCTCAGGCAAGTTCTTCAGCGGGAAGACTGTGGTAAGGAAGACAGGGGAGAAGGCCAACGGACTACAACTGTAGCATGCTGAGCCAAGCGACGACCAGGGGTTCCCCGTCGAAGGGTATCATCAGTCAAGCATTGTTGCAATTACCCTCCTCGGGATGGGATAGTGAGATGGACATGCACACGAACCTGAAGTGCAGAGGTGCCGTGAACACGACCAGCTTTCCCCATGGGGTAGGCGCAGTGGCAGACGGTAACTAGTTATGTTAGCAGGGCTTAGCTCAGCGGAGCGTAGTGTTCGCCGGGGGTTGTGACAGTACAGTACAGTACAGTACAGTACAGTACTTTAGCTACTATAGTGTAACTCCTTGACTGTCTGTCCAGCACAGCACCCTTCCTGTCCATGTAACTCCAGTCCCGTCGAGTAGAGTACAGGACACCACACTGGACAAGGAAGTTGGGAATGTAAGCGGAGCTGAGCCCAGCAGACCACCGCACCGCAGAGGCAAGGCAAGACAAGGCAACCCACCCACCCACCCAACACAACTTTAATACGATGCCATGCGATTGGCCCCGAACACCCCTCCTGGGCCCTGCGTGGCAAGAGTCCGCACAGTAAAACCTCGGTTCAATCGGAATCCGACTAACATACTAGATGGAATAAACTCACATGGAATCAACTCACATTCAACGAAAACTCCCCGTTTGACTTGTCCCTCCAGGAGATGGGTCAGGGCGGGTTGCAGCCGTAAGTTTAGCGGAGAGGAGATTCCACAATCCACATTCCGGTGGTTCAGGGCTCCACTTTTGGCTTTTTCCCGGACTGGGTTACCCGTCCCAGTTCGCCGTATACCTCCCGTACTAACTCCCCTGAACCCGAGATACGTCATGTTTTACGAGAGATCCATGGTAGCGTTTCTTGCTCCTCAGCCAAAACAAAGTACAGTACAGAATCACTATGTGCATGAATTCAACTACCCAATATACTAGAAACGGGCTTTACCTCCCAAAACACCGCATAACCTCATAACTCATCAATCATGACAAACCGATCCAGACGACGACGTATAGGGGGTCTAGAAACTCCCCCCGGGTTTCCCCCAGTTTCCTGTAAAGTCGGCCGGGCGCAGTTCCCGCTCCTGGCCCGTGGCCGACAGGAACGAGTGGCTGGTCTGCGTCTCGCCGCTCCACGAGTGCGAGACATCCGAATGGCCCGTGCGCGGATGGTCGAGGCGGCGGCGCCCGCTGAGACTCCGCTGCGTCGTGCTGCTGCGCGTGGTCGTGCAGGTCGCGTGCTCGAACATGGCGATCGAGACGTCCTCGCTGTCCATCCAGGGGTGCGAGCGGCGGCGGGTCGCGAGGGGCGCGTGCGTGCCCGGGTGCGTCAGGTCCGACGTGACGCGGGTGGCGTCGACGAAATCCGGGTAATCGGCCAGGGTCCGTGTGGGTTGCTGCTCGTCGCCGACGGCGGTCGGCGGCGGCGGCGGGCTGCTGACGGCGAGGGCGGAGTCGCATTTCCAGACGTGATGGCCCCGGACCAGCAGGACGAGCTTGCCGAGGACGGCGAACTCGAGCTTCAGCTTGACGCTGTAGATGACGCCCTTGATCATGGTCTCCATGATGTAGAGGTCGCGGTACTCGATGACCAGCAGCGCCAGGTCCAAGAAGATGATGATCAGGTTGATGGCCACGAGCTGGTACATGATCTTGCGCTTGCCGCGGTCCGGGTCCAGGCGCAGCATGCGCACCGTCTCCCAGATGTAGAGCGCGGACAGGATGAACTCCTGCAGGCAGAAGCAGGTCATCTGGATCTTCTCCATGATGTTGTAGCCGGCGATGAAGGCGGCCTTGCGCGGCGCCAGGTTCGACCCGTACGTCAGCACCGTCGTCGGCAGGTGCAGCAGGCACGCGTCGATCGTGATCATGTACCGCACCTGGCGCAGGATGCGCGCGTTGGGCAGCACCAGGTGCAGCCGCGAGTACAGCACCACCGACTGGCCCGTCACCATCGTGTACCACCCGATGGTGATGAGCGTCACCGACAGGGCGGCGGGCGCCAGGTCGAAGTATTTGAGGAGGAAGCCGGTCGAGTAGGGGATCAGCCCCAGCGAGGAGATCAGCAGCGACCAGAAGTAGGGGCCCCGGAACTGGGCGAAGGTCACGAACACGAGGATGACCAGCTCCACGGCGTTGTACCAGCTGATGGCGGCCAGGGTGGCAATGGCGATGCGGAGGGCCATACTGTGGCCGGTGTAGCCCCCGACGACGCCATTGCCGGGGGATGTGGTCGGGCCGGTGATCATGGTTTCATCGTTGAATGGGATTCATTCACGAGTGGTTGAGTAGTTAGGTAGAGATGGGAGTAGTATATGGTAGTATCGTATAGTATGAAGCTAAGTAAGTGGTGGAGTGGAGAGATATAGAGAGGAGCGGAGAGGAGAGAGGAGAAGAGGAGAGGAGGAGAGGAGAGGAGAGGAGAGGAGAGGAAAGGGAAGAAAGGAGCGAGAGGGATGCAGTGGGAGAGAGAAGAGAGAGAGAGTGTGTGTGTGTGAGAGATGGTGTGCGAGAGAGAGGAGAAAGAGTCAGAGAGGAGAGGAAAGACAGGCAGCAAGTCACGAGAATCACTAACTCACTAACATATGCAGTCATCCTGGACTAACTCGACCCAGATTGACCGACAAACAAACGCGGGGAAAGACAGCAAGGAAGACAGCCGGAAATGACAGCTCCACTCGACTCATCATTCAACTGATTACTGATTTCATACTGGGTAATGACTGGTCAATAGTCAATAACTGGTACTCTGAACACCTCGTCTACTTGTCAATACCTGATATCATTCCCAGCGCTCCGTCTCCGATCGCGATCCGATCATCCCCTGCGTCCGCCGTCCACACGTGGACTGGACCTGGACCTGGAAATGTCATTCACCATTCGGATACGTCACGTCAGGGTTATAAATAGTTTTCAATGAAGCATTCCAGCCCCAGCACTGCCTGCCTGCCTGTCTGCCTGCCTGCCTGCGCTTCTTATGTATTGCTTCACCACTGAATCGATCGGCAGTATATTGCCCCCAATGCATCATATGATCCACCACAGAAACCCAAACTCCCGACCTCAGAAACGCCATAAAAAAAACCATATTTCCCCCCGCAACAACGCCTTCCATATAGAAATACAGCAAACCCTTTCCCTTTCCCCTCACGACCAAAAACAACCCCCCCCCCCCTCCGTTTACCCCATAAGATAAGAATCTAATCCTCCCCCCCCGTCCTCTCCATCACCCGCCTCACCTCCCCGCGACACTCGGGCATGGCACCGCGGATCTCCCGCGCCAGCACGTCCCGAAACCCGCGGAACGCCTCCTTCTTCCCCTTGAGGTCCTGGTTGCCGCGCTGCACCAGCTCCACGAACTCGCGCGTGTAGATGTCCGGGTTGCGCGCCGCGTCCACGTAGTCGATGATCTCCGGCGGGAGTTGCACGCTCCCCAGGGTTGGGTCCTGCGGGTTGGTGGTGCTGTTGGTGGCTGTGGCGTCCGGATTGGTGGGGGCGGTGTGGGTTTGGAGAGTCTGGAGGGCGAGGGTGAGGTTTTTGCTGGCGGGAGGTTAATGTTCGGCGGGGAATTGGGAGGGAGGTGGCTGGCTGGCTGCACGTACATCTTCCGGACGAGCTCTTGCTGGGTCTCTGGGCCGAGGTATCCGTGGACGGCGGATTGGATCTCGAAGAGGTGTTGGATGATTTCTTTGAGGTCGTCTGGTGGTTGGCATTGGAGCGTTAGTAGAAGGCGGTGGTGTGATGCAGTGATCTAGGGCAACTGGAACGTACGGTCGACAGTGGTGAGAGTGACGGGGGCCATGGTGATGAGTGCACGCCAGTGAGTGGTGAGGAGGATGAGACTGTCTCGGAGGTGGTGCGGAGAAGAAAGCAAGCACCACAAGAGGAGAAGGCGGAAGGAAGACCGCGCTAACCGCTTGGGGCATATCCACCCTATCTGCCCAGTGGGCACCGCCTGGGTGCCCGAGCAACAATCGACGAATATACATACATGTATACAATCAATCGGATCTACACTGTCTCATGTCTCATGTCTCCCCGATCGATCGATCCATCGAAAGAACTACAGCCTCCAAAAGTCCAAAAGTATATATGCAGCAGCAAAAGGGGTTAGCTTTCCTTTAAACAAGTCTATCCACACCACCCAATACAATTATAGCTCACATCGCTCACATCGCTCACTCGCTCACTACCACGCTCTAAGCATATATGTATACCAACTACTTATACCTCCTTCGTCCGGAGACTATGAGGAGCCACCCGCGGCAGCTCGATCTCCGTCTCCATCTCTAAGCCCGACAGACTCGGAAACCGCCGACTGAAGCTGGCCTCCCAATCTTCCCCGCCCGCACTGGCTGGCGTCGCCGCCACCGTGGGACTCCGATCCTGACTGCCCGCTTGTCCTTCCATCCCCGTGGGCATGCGCAGACTCTTCGGTTTGGGCGGCAGCGCCGGACGTGGGCCCCCAGAGGAAGACCCCGGCCGCCCGCTGGCCGTAGGTTGTTTGCCGATGCTCGTCGGCTGCTCGGCGGGCGCACTCGCGCGGCTCGACCGCAGTTCCGTAGGCTTTGCCGGCAAAGCCCCCGCCGTCTCGTCCGTGTAGCGTCCGTAGCCCGTCGCCGTCTTGGGCGGCGGAGGAGCCCGCGCCGACTCGCCTAAGAGTGACTGCACCTTGTTTTGGATCGCCTGCGACCGTGGCCCGTCGCGCCACCCACCAGCCCCAGCCCCGGCCCCAGGCTGTCCGCCTTCAGCCACCCGTCTCCGATACTCGGCCGCCGCGGTGGCGACGCGTTTCTCCTCCTGGGAGAGCCGGCGCCGTTCCAGCTCCCGCCGCATTTCCGGCGAGATATCCTCGTTGCCGTCCATGTCAATCAGCTCACTGGCCGGCTCCGAGGTCAGATCCGCGCTCGTGAGCATCATCGGGGACTTGCTGGGGGCCTCTTCGGTGACGGGGGACTGCACTTTGCTCTCCGAGTTGCTGTGCTCAAACCGTCGGAACGCGTCCCCAAACCGCCCCGCAAACATTTTGGTGCCGGACAGCGACAAGGTCGACAAGCTCGATCGCTTGCCGTGCTTGGCCGTACCACTGTACCGCTTGTCGCGCTTCTTGTTGCTTTCTTCTTCCCGCGCCCGGAGATAGTCCACGTCCGACGAGATGTTGGCCAGTGAGTCCGCCTCCGTCCGCGCATGCTGCAGAGGTGCCCCGCCCTCATAGTAGGGCGACCGGGGTAGATCCAGGGACGAGCGCGCGCTCTCCGACCCACGGGGGAGCTCGTACCGCGCCCCAGCATGGACCGACACGGGACGGGACCGACCGTTGGCCGAACGCGAACGCCCTGCCGACTCGCCCACCTCCAGATTGCTGGGGCGACCGCCTTCGAGGGAGGGTCGGGGTGAAGCCGACAAATCCGAGATCCGATCGGAGGACCCGCGGGGTTGGACCACTGCGTTCGTCGACGGCGATGGAGCTTTTGCTTTGAGGTCCGACTCGGATGGCTGCTTGTGGCTGGATGGGCGTCGCTGGTGGTCGGCCGGGGGGAACTTGTAAACGGGGCGACTAGCCGGTTTGTAGTCGGCCACACCCGGCGTCGGCGGCGGCGAGGTCATCGTCCCAGTCGAGACCATAGTAGGTCGCTGTGGGGCAGGTTGGTACAGCGGCACCGAGGCGCGTCCTTCGTCGCGCGCATTGTCGACGCGTTCGACCGGAGCAGATTGCGTCGACGGAGATTGCGTGGGACGCTGGCTGGCAGATCCCTCCGGACCGGGCGACTGGTGCTTGGCAAAGGCATCGTCCGCCAGCGCATTGGTGAGGCGCCGCGCAAGGTCATCATCTTCGGGACTAGACTCTGGCACGGCGGATTCAAAGTCGAATTTACCCCCCTTCTCGTGCAGAATCTGGAATTGATCCAACGAGGGAAACCGATTGGTAAATTCGTCCGCTGAGTCGCGGGGACGCTGGGCATTGTCCAGGACGGAGAAAGGATCCCCGGAGCCCCGGAACGGGGAGGGACTGGGCTTGGCCGAGTGGTGCGGTGACTGCGTCGGTCTGGTCGGACGGCCACGACGCATCGGGGCGATCTCCGGAATGATATGGGTCTCCTGGACCGGCGGAGAGAAGACGGCACCAACCTGGGGCGCCTCGGTGGGGGAGGGCGGTAATTCCTGATACCGGCGGGCTTCCGATGTGGAGCGAGCAGCGTAGATCTGTCCGAGTTGTTAGGACCAGTGATGTGACAGGGAATCGCAAGACTTACATCACTGATGGGGACGTCCTTGCCCTGCATGTGACAGACCTCGCGCACCACCTCATAAATATTCGGCCGCTTCTGCGGGAGTTCCTTCAACATCCAAGCTGGCGGGGTCAGCGTGGCCATCACTACAATGTCCGGGGAACCTACCGATCAGCATCTTCAAGCGATCCGAGAAGGCCGGGTAACTCGGGAACTTGTAGCTGGCATTCAGAATCGCCATCTGGCCAACCTCTTCGAACGGGGTGGTATAATAACACAGCTTGTACAAGAGGACCCCCAGGGCCCAGATATCGCTCTTCTCGTCGATCGGCTGCTTCCGGTAGACATCGATCATCTCGGGGCTGCGGTACTGCAGGGTGGTATGGCGCTGGACGTCATCTTCAATCAACCGACCCTCGGCGGCCGAGGTGGCGGCCGGGCGAGGGGGCGCGGCCGATCCAAAGTCGCAAAGCTTGTAAAGGGCCGCCCTGCCCTGGCGCGAGATCAGAACGTTCTCCACTTTGAGGTCGCGGTGCAGAAGCGGGGGCTTGAGGTAGTGCATGCAGGCCACACCTTCCGCCACGTCGGAGAAGATCTTGATGATTTCGGGCTCGGTCAGGCGATTCTGCAACCGCGTGTTCATGAAGTCAATCAAACCGCCGCCATCGCAGAATTCCATGAGCAAGAAGACCTCGTATCCACCACCGCGGAGTTGTGACGCATGGGAGTCAATGTAGGTGACGATGTGCCGATGCCCCTTGAGCTTCTTCATGGTTTCGACCTCAGTGCGCATGTTGGCCAAAGCCGACTTATCCGGGACCGCCACGCGCTTGAGGACTGCCCGATCAGAGCCATCGACCGGCTGGGGTAGGCGCACGACGTAGACATGGGCGAAGCCTCCCTCGGAGAGGTATTTCTCGACGACGACGCGATGGCTGCCAACCTGAACTTTGGTCCCGGGTAAGAAGGTCCCCGCGGGGGCTGCGATCGCAGCTACCGGATTGTAAACGGGAATGGGC